ATGAAATTAGTTAACACATTGTGGATCAGAGATTAAATCTGGATTGTCCCTTTCTGTGTAGCACAGCTACTCATTGAATTAAACCCATTGATTTTAAAATATCATTGATCCTAATGGACATCTGCAACTTTATCAAACATATGACTGTACCAGTGTTGCTGATTTTGTTTTGAGGTTTCCCCCCCACCCCCTCTTAAATAGTTTATTTTCCTTATTGTACTAATCTGCTGCAGACTTCTTTCGTGTTTAATGATCTGCTTGCAGGTCGTGATTCAGTGTGGTATTAAGTGCAGTTGAACAGGATGCAAAGTGGGCAGCTGTGCTTCTGAGTGTCAGTTTTATTAGTTTTGAGCGGGTTAAAAGCGGTGCTTCACATAAACTTGTTTGTGAGGCTCGTGGCTGAAGCATGAGTTGATGATCTCTAATTGTATGAGTGGCTAAAAGATTATAGGGAGTGAGTGAGGGGTATCTCATGGGCGTTAAATCCTAGTTAATGAGTGGGGTCTGCCTAATTTATGGTGGGGAGGGGAAGGAATTGTATCTGGTGAGTGGGGGAAGATTTTAATCACAGTCCCATTGGATTACCTCTTCATGTCTTTAAATCCATGTCAGTATGAAACCAGTCTGTTTTTCTCGTCTTTGCATTCGATATGCCACCTTTCGTGTTACAAAGTGCTTCACAGGATTTCTGTAAAGTGTAGTGACTGTATATTTTGTAGGTGAACACGGTGAACAGTCTGTGTATTGCGTAGGTGAGCAATCACTGTGTGAACAACGATGTTCAATGTTTAGTTCGCTACTCTGAAAACTTATTTTTAAATATTATGTTGAGCATTACAAAACAGTCACTACACTTTATGGTAAAGAACTGATAGAGTAGTTGTCGTTCAACTTGTAGATATTAAGTTGTACTACTTCAGACCAATTTAAGGTTTGTTTTAAAATTTTAAGGTTTATTCCTGTCGCGAAGTGCACTGAGACATCACCTTCCATGAAGGGTGCTATATCACTGCAAGTTCTTGTTTGTTGTTTGAAATGTGGTTTGCCACCAGCAGCTCTAAGATATCCAATCCACAATCCTGTTGTTGATCAAGGTGTTCAATGCTAAAACTGTACGGATTTAAATGGTTAAACAGTACCCCAACGCACACTTTGGGGACTCCAGAGCCTTGGCTCTCCCCAACCTGCACCCAATACTCTCCAGAATTGGGTGCGCAGGATGTGTCCCTCTAGGGAGAGAGTGCGCATCACATTTCAGAGACTGTTGCTCTGAATTCACGCCTTATTTACTTCTCGACTATATTGTTTTTCAAACACACTCTACTGTCTCTCTAGTTTCACCATTAGTAAACCCCAATTAATCCCAAACTGTGCCACCACGCCGCACTCTGCATGACGAGCAATCCAGTTCTCACTAGCTTCCACTGGCGTTCGGTCTCTGAACAGATCGAACTTAAGGTACACTGACCTATGAATCCCTTGGTGCCCTAACCCCTCCCTATCTCTATGCTCTTCTCCTACCCCACTCTTCTGCATGCCCTTCCCACTTGGCTAACTCGCGCTTGTTGCATGTCCCCCGTCCCCTCCGCACCACCATCAACGCAATCAGCCCCTAACCTCTGCAACTCCCTCCCTCTGTCCGCCCCACCGTCTTTAAATCCCATTTAAGAGCCTACCTCTTCGACCGCAAGTATAGTCACTTTTCCCTCCCCCTTCTCCCCTGCTGTCCCATCTTTGTGAGTTGCTCCAAGATGTTATCATACATGAAGGATGCTATATGAATGCAAGCTGTTATTCACCTTAATAATATAAGAGTATATAGTAACTATATAGTAATTATATTATATAGTAACTGCTGTTGCTATTATTCAGATTGGCCCTATTAATGCCACAGTTAGGTGAAATTTAGCCAACCATAGTTTAGTTCGATGTTAGAAGTAACGGGCTAGTTTATGTTTTATTTTGCATGTTAAATTTCCCCCCAGTATAAATTGGACTTGTATATGTGTTTATTTGCGAGTGAAAAGTTTTAAGATGTGCTCTGATTGTCACCAGACACTAGGTTATAATGTATAATGACCTGAATTGATTTTGTTGGTCAACAGAGACAATTGACAAAGGGAATTGCATTTCAGTACATTATTCTGGATCTGAAATCACCAGCAAAATGACTGTTGAAGTACAGCATACAGTATTATAAGCATTTCTGTGTGTGCTGAGCTAGAACTAGCCCGGAGGCGGGTCTTACGCTGATCACTTTGCCCCATTCTAATATTTAGCTTTCTCCTCTTACCTCAATTCCATATATAAACTGCATGTTTCACTCTAGTCGAATGCTGCTTTTGCTAAGTTGCTTTACACATGACTGGGCTCCAATTCATTTTGGATGACTGCAAGAGTCTTATATGAAAATGGAGAAGGGCCAACTTATTTCCAGTTCCTCATGGCATACAGTCACAATAGAGGCTGCCTGTAGTTTGCTATAGATTGACCCTAAACTTGAAGACTTTATGGACAATTATTGGGTTGCTGTAGGAAATCAAAAGTCTGTACCTGTGCTATAGATGGTGCTCTTCTATAGATTGGTTTACGACTGATTGTTTAAACAGCAGAGGGAGCTTTACTCTGCATCTGGCTATGATGTATTCTACCTGAAGCAACATGGAGCTTTGCTATCCATCTGGTGAGGTGACCTAAAGAATGTGGTTGATGTTGACTGTGTGATGAAAGTGGAAAACTGCAGTCACATCCTTCATCTCTCCTCCACCCAAAAAAAAAATGTATACTCAATCCACGACAGTTTGTGGGACACTGCTGAGCACAATTGGCTCCCGGGTTTTGACCACCAAACACACAGTCACTACACTCTACAGTGTGTTCTGTGAAGCGCTTTGAGACATCTCAACGACGTGATCAGGCGCTATATATATGTTATATACAGAATTTACATATGCGCATAAGCAAATCTTTTTAAACCATAAATGTAGAACAACAGTGTTGAGAGCATCCATCATAACTGGAGTAGTTCATGGATTCCATATACTCAACTCAGATTACAGCTCTGACAGGTTCTTCCAAGTGCTCTGGACTCATTGAATAACCAGAATATCTCCCTGATGATGGTGACGAGCAAACAGATCTGCTATAACTCACTGTCAATGCTGAGATATTGTCTATTTATTGCAATTAATTATTAGATATGAGCCAAAGTTAAACTTTGGCATGCTTTGAATTATTCTTGAGTAAATATTTACTACTACACTAAATGATAACTTTGCTTCTACAGTAGAAACAAAAGCAAAATACATTCCATTTGCAGTTCCAAATGGTACTGCAGTCAAAATGATTTGTAGGCAAAGCAGATCTTAACTGGTCCTGGCTTTTTCTATAAATTGTTCCATCAGTTATCTGACCAGAGAAGCACAGAATGCATTTTCAATTTTTAAAAAATCCAGACTGCCACTCACACAGCAATTTAAGTTTAAAACGTTTACATTTCCAAACACAAGTTTTATCTCGGCTGATTTATTTCTAATAATCAGTTTGTCGGGAGATAATGGCACAATATCACCATTTAGTCCTACTTCTTTCAGCTGCATGATCTGAATCTGAATCCAGCCCAGCAGGATTCATTGCAATTCAATTCTCTTCTGTCAAGTGGATATATAGGCCCTACACAAAATCGATCTAGGTGATTGTAAACTAGCTGCTGATGGGTTTAAGAGCACATCTTAAAACTCCCCAAATTCAGCATATATTTGTGTACCAAATTGATAATCTTTCACGCTGAGAGTCTGCAGGAATGGTTGTTTGGGAATATGAAAATCCACTTGTCTGGTGCAATGAGACGTGCTATTCTGAGGCTGCATTGGAAAGTTACTTTGCATGCTACCTGCATTATATCTGACCTGGTAGAATGTCAAACATGGAAGTTCTTCCTATCCAGATTTGAATGGATTTGCTTTAATGAGCTCAAACATCACCAGTTTTATGCACTTTTTGTTTCAAAAAACATAATTACTTAAACCATAAATACTTATGAGATTTTTTGGTGGGTTGCCAAGTAGCAAAATTAAAAACAAAACTCTAATTAATGTGCACGGTTGAAAAGAAATGATCACTGATGCACATCGGGTTAATTGGTGTAGCTCTCAAAATATTCAGCTTGTTTTTTTGCTATCAGATTCCACAGTCGAAATAAAATTGGCCACACACGTCAAGGCTATTTTGTGAGACGTTGCTGTGTGCAAATTGGTTGCTGAGTTTGTCTACAAAACACAGTCCCTATGAGTATGTTGAATATCTACCGCACTGAAGTCATGATCAGAAAGAAGAGCTCTTCCTTCCCTGCTTCTTGATGATTGATTGTTTGAAAATTAATTTTTGCCAATTTCTTCTACAATTATACACCTGACATTTACTATACTGGTGAGATGCTGCAGGGCTGTAACTGTTCTTATTTGGAGATGATAGAGTGGGTATCGTGGAAGGATAAATGAAAAGGGCCAAAGGGCCTCCATTATTTGTGACTCTGATTTTTAAATTTCCTTATTTTACCAACCGTTCATTGTCGGTGCCAACTTACAGCCAATCCTGCCTCCATAATGATTTGTTTACCTCCACTGTACTTAGCCCGGGTGGGGTTGTGGGGGGGAGGGGGAACTGAAATCAATATGCGCAGACCAATCCTTGGACTTTCTTGATGTCTGTGTTAGTTTTCAATGCATTTATCAACTGAAGCAATCCACAACTGTTTGGCGGCTGTATTTCGCTCATAAAATATACAGCCGATTCACTTTAGGGTATATTCTGTGAAACGCTTTAAGATGTCTTGAAGACATAATAAGGCGCGATATCAAATGTAAGGATTATTTATTATTATGTTTGACTCTACTCTGCAAAATCTCAAAATTCAGCTGACATGTAAACTAATGTTCCTCTTCTCTTGTGTTTGTGTTTTTTTTGCCCACAACCCCACCCCCTCCACCCCAACCCCCAAGATATTGAACACCATCTCTTCCGACCAGGACACTCAGTCACGGGACGGTTTGTACTTCCAGGATGGGAAGCGACGCGTGGATTACGTGCTGGTCTATCAGTTCAAGAAGTCGAGCCGCAAAGGGGCGGGCTCCCGCAACCGGGAATCAATGAACAGCCGACGCCAGGAGCCAGACCCTGAGATTGGTTTACAGCCAGTGGATTTCCCCGAGGATGACAGGAGGTTACGCAGGGAGGAGTACGAGCATAACCTCCTCGAGACGGGATTGGAACTGGAAAGCGACGAGGAGGTAACTCCACACACATAGATACAGGCATCGGAAAGTATTTCAGAGAGATTATCTAAGTCTTTTTGGAGTATGTAATTAGGTGGAGAGATATATATTATTTTCTCTCTCTGAGGATCACTGATCATATGGATTTCTGGGGACAGAATACAAATCTATAAGTTTAGCTAATATGAATGTGATTTCAGATGTTGTCTTCTTGTTTTATTGAGGGGGCATGTTAATATTATTTGAAACCCATAAATATCAGATCATGTGTATCCCTTGGTGAGATGGTGACTCTAAAGCAACTTTTATACAGCTCCTTTGACATGAATTACATGTCCCAGTGCTTTAAGAACTAAAATTGATTAGAATTTTATGATTCCTCAGTTGGAAGAGCATCAGTATGCAGAACTAATTGGATCAGGGTAAGAAGTTACAATAGGCTTGATCTTATAAAAGTAAAATACATTAGTTAGGGTACATCTTTTTTCTCTCAGTACTTCTGATAATAACTGTATATCCATCTTTCATAGCTGGTCACTTTCATTACTACAGGTCCTAGTAAAATTATTGTTTTGATTATGACTTTTGATTTGCTTAGTAACCATCACCCTTGTATAATCCCATGGTAGCAGTTATATAGGTACAGCTACATATTCTGTAGAGCTCTGAAAACATTTAAATAGAAACGCATCTTAGCTATGACATACAGATTTGTTCTGCTGCATCCTATCTCACTTAGTCCATCTAAACATTTTTTGCTGCAGAGGAATTTCAGACTAAGGTTGATTGTGTCAGCTCAGAGTAGGTGCTGCAGTGACTGATGTGCTGCATTGCATACAGAATACACTCAGGCGTCTATAAAATTTAGCAAGCTAGCCATTCAGCGAAAGGTACAAGTCTCAAGTCTGTGCCAGGAACTTTGGAAACGAATTAGCAAGGAATGCAGGAATCTATCTTGTTACATTGTACTTGGCAGGATGGGGAACTTTCATTCTAGTTACTGATGCAATTTGCTTTGGGTGAGAAATTAAAACCCAGCAGGTGAATAACCGTGAGAAACCAGAAACAGACACCAGTGCAGAGAATATAATGGCAGGTCAATGTTTAAGTTCTAAATGAAAAATTTAATCTACAAAAAACATCCGGTGTTTTTAACGTGAGTGGGTGAAAGGCACGATGATGATTGCAGTATCACATTATGTAAAAGCAGATTTTTTTTTCTGTAATCCCATTCCTGAATGCGTGGAAAAATACTGTAGACAGTCCAAAGGCCAATAGATAATAGAGGTCATAGGAACTGACACAATTATTTAAATGACACAAGGGATATTTTACAGTGAGTCAAATGTAGTTTTCTCATATTTTTAGTATCATTGTGAGTGTGTACATGTATAGAGATTTGTTTGCTATTTTGTAATGCTCAGCTTTTATTGCAATTACTTTATTTTGCATTATATATAATACAATTATAGGTTATTGAATGAAATTACAACTTCAATGTAATAACATTTTGCTTTTAAGATTTGAAACGATTTAATTTTTTTGGTGGGAATTAGTGTCTTGGAAACGTATTGCTTATCTGACATGGAATAATTGAACTGATTTTCTCCAATGGGATGCCAAAGTTCGCCTGACAGAAAATGTGGTTGTTTTTAGTAACAAACACTTGAATTAAAAAAAATAGTATGTGCAAATCCAATTTTTTCTGGGAGTGTTGCACCCTAAATGCATAAATACTGCTGGTTACTTCAACCTGAAATTGCTCGCTGCTACCCATACGTATGCTTTTGTCACATGTGGGGTCTACGTATGTCCAGTGCAAGTGATGTATAGTAAATTTACTTACGGGGAGGGATGGTTTTATGTGTTTAACAGTAAGTAAGGACTTTTCAAGAAAACTCATTGCCTCTGTGATCTGCTTGTAATAATGAAAACAGAATCACTGTTTGCTATGCTGTTCATAACATGCAGAGGGGAGAGGAAGGAAGAAAATGAGTGTTGGCTTCAGGGTGTATACTTGCTGTGGATCAGCAAAGCTCATGTTCTCTCATACATTTAAAGCTGACATTTTGCGTCCTTAGCATTGTGTGTAAAATGTTTTATTATCTTGCTTGGTTGAGCATTGCATCTCTTGTATATTGTTTGTCTTTTTACATTATTCCCTCACTGCTGCTTGCCTGGCACTCAGAATGATCTCAGCTGTGATTCCAGTCCAATAATGAAAAGAGCTAATAGCTTTGAACCCATGCAAGATTCAAAAGGGGACCCGGAACTGGTAGGAGCAATTACTTAGCGATCAGCCTGGTGTAAAGTAGATGGTTCTAGTTTGTAGTCATTAGCTTCTTCGTATCTAGCTGTACACTTGCATTACTCACAACAACTTGCAATGGATTACAAACTGAATCAATTTAGTATTTTGCCTGAAATCGACCAACTCTGCAGCCAATACCAGGAGCTGAATGGAACGCTTTCCTGGTTAGCACAATGTGGAATTACCATTATAGAAGGTGAAATTACCGTATGTACTGAGCCAAGAAGGAGTTGCTCCCAAGCTCCATTTAACATGGCATATTTTGCTGCTCCAGCCATATCTGGTCCATTTTGACCCCTTTGTCTGTGTAAGTCTAGTGATGTTGGCACAGGATACACTGTGCAGCAGCTCAATGTTAGTCATTCTCCCCATCATAAGTATCGTTGGGGGGAAGACTATTTATCTGTTCTATCCACTTAAAAGGTCTCACTGTGCTAGCAAATTATTATTACAAATATTAGTTGTAAAAGGCTTCTTGCCAATTTCAAGTTCAGCTTTCATTAACCCTCCACCATTGTAAATGTGTTCATTTTCTACTGTTGAATTGTTAAGTAAAACTAATGAATTTAGAATCTGGCACAAGGTGCCTCTGGGTCCAATACACATTAAATACCCAAGTGCATTTCACTCTGCTATTTTAAAATAAAAACACTGGTTTTAAATATTAGGACAGATGTAAAGCCTGTGATGTATCTGTTTGATTTAAAATGATTAATAGTCTCAGCGTTTCATAACAATCAAAAAGATGAGCTATTGAGATGGGAAGATTCTTTTGAATCTCAATTTATAACTTAATTTCAGGAAACAAGTTATAATTTGACCAAATGTGAAATTTTGGTTTGGGGTCACGCATAGTTTTCTATACACAATTTAGAGAGCGAGTGAAGTAGCAGTTTTACTACCACATTATTCATTGGGACAGAATCATAACCTCGGTGCCACATTAATCCTTTGTGAAATGTTTGCCCTGTCCACTTCACGCTACAGAATATGAACTTTTGGCCTGTGTAAATTGCCTGTGGTTGGTTTATAATAAATGACCAAGCTTGGTTGTAACTCAGTCTGGTTGACTGTCCTTCCTACAATCCCTGGTTTGACTCGTCGTCTATTCTAAAAGAATCTTACTTAGGCGTCAAGATGAAAGGAAGTTCTCACTAAGAGTACCCAGTTCGTCACTTAAGATTTTCTTTACAAATAGCACAAAGGGATTTAGGTGAAGAAGACCATTCAGTCCATTTGATCTCGTCCTTCTAAGATATCACCCATCCCTTCCTCCCATCACTGCACCAAGTTTTTGTTTTAAAATTAACTCATCACTTTTTGGCTGAACTGAAAATACACCATTGAACAAACCAATTTCAATCCTCTTGAGTTATGCATCACTTTGCTTTCCCCTTTTCTCCCACACGTCATGAACATAATGAAACAAAAAAAGTATCGCTATTTCAAACTGCGTAGGTCACACCAATTATTCATCCCAGCTTGTCTCAGTGACTAATGCAATTTCTGTGACTTCTGTAGGTTTCTAGTAAATACTCTTATGTCTGTGGTGGTGGCTCTCTGTGAAACTTTGTTTGGTGGTTCTGCTACTAAGTAGATTGTTACCGTGAAATGAACTGATGACGTGTGTTCCTGAATAACATTTACTGGCATTTTGAAAGGGTGCTATTTGTACTGCGTTATTATCTTTATATCAGGGCCAAGTATACAACACTGTTTTCTAGTAAAGGTGAAATTTGACTAGTAGCATTTTCAGACTGGCAAACAGAATCCATGTTAAAATGGGAAAGGAAATGTGAAGATAAAGGTCAATGTATAGAGAAATACAAACAAAGGAACCAAATACAGTGGAGCACAGTGACATTCGTGTCATTAGTAAATTCATTTGATTTACTTGTGATAATATATAGCTTTTTATTCCCTCAGGCAAATTGCTATGGCCTGGGGTTTGTGAAGATACATGCACCATGGCATGTACTTTGCCGAGAGGCTGAATTTCAGAAGCTTAGTATGCCCACTAACAAGGTGAGTTTTTGGCTGCTCAGGACATTAAAGACCGCATGACTATTTGAGCAGTGGTGCATACTGTCAAGAAACCAATGTCCGTCCTTGATGAATTTTGAGGTCGTTGCAGACTTCAGGTGAGTGCAAAATGGAGCGACCAACAGGTGTGACTTGTGTTCATCTTGTGGCCGAGCTGTAGTAAAAATCCAGCAATTTGTCAAGAATTGGTGCAAGATTTGTAAAATCTGGATGTGGGAATGATGAGCAGAAACTGGTCTCTGCTTTCACAATGTTTTATCCTTTTAAGGCCTGGTTTTGAGGTATTTCCTACTGCCTCGCCATTCCTAGTTTAATGTAGGTTTCCCCTGTTACTTTGTTGCTCTCAGACTTGCTCTTAGGGAGTCTCCACTGTCTGTAATTTTCCTTGGCTTGGGTCCATAGATTCCCTGCTGTCTCTGAAAGAGAGAACTGGCAAGATCCAGAGAAAGAATGAAGAATGTAAGGAAAGATTGAGGGAAAGTCCAGACAGATTTGAATTGATGAAAAGGATGAGAGATACAGACAATAGAGGAAGCAGAAGTAAGATGGGGAAAAGGTAAATTAAGACAAAAAAGAGAAAATTGACTTTTTAATAAAAAAAAGTGAGGAAACAGGGTTCAAATAATAATAATAATCGTTGCATTTGATATAGTGCCTTATCACGTCTTCGAGACGTCTCAAAGCGCTTCACAGAATATACTGTAAAGTGAACTGACTATTTTGTGGGCGAAATAGGAAAGAAAGCAAAGCGGAAGGAAAAATGAAAATAAATTTATAGTAGTAGATTTCAGTAGACTACTACAAAAGAACTAAATTGAGAATTTTGTTTTACATTGGCCTTCCAAAATTTAGCGTTTTATTCATATTTACTTTTTTCATTAAATACTACTATAACAATTGTGCATTGTGCAGTTAGTTCTTGCAGATAATAGCTTATTTAATACCGCTCTTAACTTTTCAGGTCTATGAAGTAAAACAGAAGACCGGGATCCTCAGCAAAATCTCTAATGTAATGCACAAGATTACGTCACCATTTCGACCAAACTTGAAAGAACAGAACAATGTGACATTCAAGCATCTTTCTTACCCATTCTCTAGAGAGAAGCAACACTTGTAAGTACAAAGACAAAACGTCAATGAGAATTGGTGTTGCTCCAATGTGAAATTCCAACGCGACGTAGAATTAGTGCTGTCTGCTAGACCATGCTCCAAGAAGCAACATTAATTGTGTAGTGTTTCAGAAGTAATACGTTTTGGGGATTGATTTAATTAAGTTTGTCACAGATGCTTTCTCTCCAGGGAAAAAAGGCTATTATTCTGCCATGTTTTGCAACGAGAGACACCTTAGATGTTGCTTTGTGCCCAGTTGAAAAATAATGTGATTGAGTCAGCTTCAGCAATCCACAGGTTCTCACTGTTTTTTGAGGTACAAGTAAAGGCATCTAATAGAACCAGAACTTATTCTTTCTGAGATCACTAGGCAATCACTTCTATTTTGCAGCTGAGTACCTATGTAAGATGAGAGACACAGTTGGGTATATTTGGTGGAGCCATTCACTATCTTGTTTGGGACACCATTTCATAGTGACTAAGATGATGAGGCAGGTGGGTGTCTGAGTTCATGTTTGGACATGACATGGTTCCCTTTAAGAGTTTAGGTGGATTGTACAGGGTTGAGGCTGGTCCTAGGCGGTGAGAGAACTGCAGAACTGCTTCCTATCAGTCTTACATAAACCCATCACTAAACAAAGATGAGTGAATTTCAGAGTAGAAGGTATTTGCATTACTTCCTGGCACGGCAAGTAATATGCAGAAGTTGGGTTTATTGATGGGCCGATAATGCCGAGGGTTTCTCTTGACACTGTCTGCAAAGCGGTTGCACAGAATAATATGTGCGCTTTCACAAAGTATCATTGTTGATCTGAGAGCTTCAGCCCAGATCTCTCTCCCTCTCCTGTATCTGCTTGCGTGTTTTAGGCTTAAGCTTTTTACACCACTTTGTGTTGCTTCCAATGTAATGCAATCTCTCTCCTGCCTCGTGATAGTAGATCTGCGTTGTGCAGTTCAGGTTGAGTCTTGCATGCCATGAAGTAGAGGAAAGATCATCTGACCAGACCAAAAGGACAGCACAAGGGTGTGAATATTTCTAAAGGACTGCTATTTTCTCTTTCTTGCACAGTATCAATTCCTCAACTGCGGAGGCTCAGATTATTTAATAGTACGTGTGTGTTTTATTTCCTAGATTTGACGTCTCAGATAAGGCTTCATTTTTCACCAGCACAGCAAGAAGTACAATTGTGAGTCTCCTGAAACTTTAATGTGAAATTATTACAGTAAACATTTAAACTCCATTTTCCTTGAAATGAAATGCTTCCCCTACAGGGCTGCAGTTACTGTGGTACCACACACACATTTTGTTTTGATTACAACTGTCTTAGTATCAGCGCTAATGAATCTGCCATTACGCTTTCTTTCTGCGTTCCTGAAAAATGGGGAAAAAAAACCTCAAGGTTGCCAGTAGTATATATTTTTCTAAAATGTTTAAATAAAGAATTTAAGAAATGATGGTTGCAGGCAAACCTGGATCCAGGGTCTCAGCGGCCATGTTATAAGTGAGGTGTGAAAAAATGGCTGACTTCGGGTCATCGGGTCATTGCAAAATTGAACACAGGAAGCGCTGCTGATATCACTTTCTACGTCTATGCCCAGGACCTACTGGTTATGTCCGTGGCATACAGGAAGAGATGTCAGCAGTGATCTGGTGACTCATAAATTGTCAATTTTTAAAAATATGTATCATTGAATATGCCCGGGCCCACATCCAGTCAGCTTTGGTGGGCAATGATCAAGAATGGGGGGTGGGGGGGGGGAATGGCCAAATTTTCCCCCTCCTCTCCCTTCCCTAACCAGGCAATTTGAGGCCATCTTGGCTGAAATCGGCTAACTCAACGCAGACTGGAGCTCAAGCTCTTCTGGTCTCTATGATTCGGTCACTGATTGGATAAATTTCAAGCTGCGAGTTAGCAATTTTTAATGTTGAGGCTGCAGGATGCATTTTGTGCTGATGCCGAATGGTCTCCTGACACTGAAGCCAGGAGCCAATGGGAACGTGATGAAGATGAGAGTAAGGGTGCCTGAGTGATGGAAGCACTCGTTTCAGAACCATGTTTTGATGAGAGGATGTACCAGAGACTTACGTGAATATTCTACATTATCTTTAATCTGCACTCGCATGGGAAAACATGGGCTTTTAGGCACAGTTCATTGAAATAAATGCTCCATCTGACTGCATACAAATTAAAAAAAAAATTTCCACAAGTTATTTGTATACAAGGTATTGACAGATAGCTGGATATCCCTATTTTGGAGACAGCAGAAATTTTAAATCATTTAAGGTAAAGGTCAGTTCAAGTGAATTAATAATAATAATAATAATCCTTGCATTTGATACAGCGCCTTATCACATCTTTGAGATGTCTCGAAGCCAAATGTTTTCACATCTGTACTCCCTTTAGACTTGCCCATAGCATCCTGTGAAGAATATAATGATGCTAGATTTCCATTTCATTTCAATTGCAGGGAGATCCTGGCAATGGATAATTAGCACAGTTTCAAAGGCTTGCAGTGAGAATGATAGCTATTGATCTTGGATCTATTTTGACAGTGGCAATGCTTCTGAAGGGTCAGGTTTGATGGTTTATTTGATGTGTCTTCACACAAGGATTGTTTCTGTAGCAGTTACTGTAAGACTTACTGGACGGTGTATCTATCTTTCCCCAAAGATTGCTCAATATATTAATTGGCCACTATTTTGTGTTCTGCAGTTACACAGACTCAGTGCTTCACTGATTTTAGCTGCAAGACTGTTTAGTACCACAGTTATCTGATCCTTTTGTTTGTTGTGTGTTCCGTTAACCTGTGCTCAGAAATTCAAACGCCATTTCTTGGATTTCATTAACATATTGTCGTCACTACGGATCAACAAGAACATTTGTTAAAGGAGAGTAATTATTGCTCATTAAGTACAGAGCGATCACCAAGGGACATCACTTTCCGTTTGCATACTGTGTTCTATCAGCTGTTAATTCCAGTAAACCAGCATAGTGTTGTGATTAGTGGCTGTTTGTTTATTTCATCTTCTGATAAACAGTCCAGTTGGGGCAGAAGTATATGAAGCTCGCTGAGTCACTCAGACTGGACAACTGCACCAGGGGAGCTGTGACTCATATCAGAGATCTGAGCTTTGCTGTTGCATACCTAGTCCCTGAAGAGGAGACTTTGCTTTTTGTGAGTGTCACATTTTAACATGGCAGACAATATGAAGGAAACTTTGTGTAGGCTAGGAAATCAATATCTTCCTGAATCCTCCCCATCGCCACCAAAGTTCAGTTATATATCCACAGCATTCCTAAGAAGGCTTGATTGCTGGATCTTAGGCATTCTACCATCTCCAAAAAGGCTACATAGGTAAGATATAGATGGGACAAATCAGCAACCAAGCCTTCCTAGGAATGCCGTGGATATATAACTGAACTTTGGTGGCAATGGGGAGGGGGGTAATTCAGGAAGGTACATATCTGAAATGACAATGTGATAGCAACTATTTGTTGTGAGGCAGTGCCAGGACATTATTAGACATGTGTGGATATTTGGATAATGTGGAGCGGGGCAGGCCAGCAAGCACGGCCCGGGGGATTTCAAGTCCAGAGGTGAAAAAAGGCACTGATGAGTGTTGTGGCTGTGTTGGAGGTGAGATTGTGGCAGAGATGGGCGATGTTTCAGAGATGAAGGAAAGTGGGCCTGATCAGAACTCCGCTGAAAGATTTGAAGGGGAGTTGAGGATCCAACAAAACACGGAAGATAAATAATGAGATAAAGTTGTTTAGTTTCTCAATGGTACGTTTTCTAGGAAATGTTATGTATGCCAAATGAGCAGTGGTATGTTTTCTGAACATGTACACGTGTCCATTGCTGCATTTGGTTAAAGTTGATATCTTTGTTAGATACAGTCTTACCAGATGGATTTTTCCAAAGTCATGTGGGAGCTTTAAGAGTCACTCCACACCCTCCAATGTTAGTCATTCACAAATGTGACCAGCGGAACCATGTGCTTGATATGTCACGTACGCAGAACATGATTCAGTCCACATATCTGAGATGATAATGTGATCGCAACTATTTGTTGTGAGCCAATGGTAGCTGGAAAAATAACTTCAGACACCTGTGCGTTAGAACTCAGAGTGCCAGGAGTAACCATGTGAAAGGACGCTCACTCTGCACAAACATTGTAGGCTTTGAGTACCTTGATGTTACCCAAACTTCCTGCCAGTCACCTCGCTGCTTGCTCATCAGGCTCTACACAAGAGATGTGACCACCAAAGCAGCCTAAACTCCACAGCTAAAAGGAAGCTGCTATTTCAATTGTGTTATTTAAAATAAAACAGGAATGAGCTGAGATGCTTGCAACGTGTGACTGGATCATTGCAAAGGAAGGTAAACTTGCTACTTGTTTTCACTTCTTGCTTGTGGTTTGACATTTTTGAGCAATCTGCAGTATCCTCCACATATCAGTAATCATTCAACATAGGGTAAATGAATTATCTGAATTGCTCTGATTAATGCCTATAAATATTCTCATTTGTGGAAATGTTTTTAATACCGCTCAGCTGTCATACTTATAGTGTGCTTCATCATCTGCAAGTCTATATGCCTTCACTGAGCAGTCGCTTTTGCTATATTTAGCACCAGCACGCAATGCCTTCGATTTGTCAGAGCCAAATTACAGTTTGCTGCTTATCAGGACTAGGTGCTAAGTTTCCAAATTCCTCTTCTCAGTACGTTTTGCTTTCCCACGTACTTTAGCATCCTTAACAAACACTTTGCGTACATTGCTTCTAAGCAGAAGAATTCTAAGCAGAATTCTATGAGAATTCATGCCCAGTTTAAGATATTCATGCTTTCTTTTGTCAATCCCGTTGTCTGGCCAATTTGTCTCATCAATCTTGAGCCTTCACGGTCAAGTGATTTGCTATTTTTGTCATATTTTCCTTGTGAACCTGGAATGATTTTTTTTCTTTCAGATCTATTGATTTGATGAGTGCAGAATGTTAAACTGCAGACAGACTTCACTATTTTAGGGGTGATTTGTGATATTCTCCAAAGATTTGGGGAAACTCCAGGTTGAGTCTTCTCAGTCAAGTTGGGGGTTGCGGGGGGGCAAGGATTGGTATTTGGAAAAGCTTTTAAAGTGTGTCCCACCATCTCCCCACAATTTCACTTCACAATATATTCTATGAAGCGATTTGAGAACTCTCAATGATGTGATAAGGCGCTATGTCAAATGGAAGTATTGCTACAATTATCTTCGCACCTTCAACATTTTTTCTTCCACATTTTGGAGGCTTTAGGAATCCACAAACCTATTGTTTCCCAAGGAGAAAAGTAACTAAAACAATTACTTTTAATTGAGGTTAAAACATTTCAAATCATTTTCTGTGCCCCTGAGATTTGTTTCAAAGTTCCAGCCCCCCCCTCCCCCCACCCTAACTCTTAACATGCTACTGGGTGTTTAGGTGTGACTGGGCAATAAGATTTATTTTTAAAACATTGAGCTGCAAAGCAAAATTCCCTGAAGTTCAAAAGGAATAATACACGTTCTCTCTTTCCCCCTAGGTTTATGAAATATTAAAGAGAACAACTTGTACCAAAGCCAAATACAGCATGGGTAAAGAAGCTTGTTTTCCCTCATCTACTTTTTTGGCATTTTAACACCTGTTGCTTTGAAAGCTGCTGTTCCATTAATAATGCAAGTAAACACTAAAGTGATCTGAAGAACCCATGTGATACCAGCTTGTTATTTCAAAGATATTTAACTTTGACAGTGTATGTCTGTAAGATTTATGGTGAGAAATTCTAGATTAGCTGTACTCCATTAACGTAGCATTTTAGAGCATCCAAGATGTGTCAACTTCTTAAAATGGTCTTTAAAGATGAAGCTAGTCTTCTGCGAATTTCTTTTAAGAACTCTGCATTTTGAGACGTCAAAGCTAAAACTGACCATTTGCCAAACTCTGCACAACTTTGAAATGCAGTAAATTTACACCAAGGTGAGAGTTCTACCCGGTGGTTTGTAAACTGAATCCACAAATTGCATTTTTTTTCTCCCTGTGGATATTAGCGATATGGACTCTGGCTCCATATATGATTAACACCTACTGCTCCGTAGCACAGTGGGTTCATCTGGTTACATTTTTGTAAACATTTAATGTTATTTTCACGCATAGGCTTCTTTACTAATGCACAGAAACAATAATTGCTAGTTTAATTTTAATCAAAAATCAACTTTGTTTGGGATTGTCTACTTTAAACAAGTATTCCTTTTATTCACAGGTATCACAAGTCTTCTTGCCAGTGGAATTTACAGTGCAGCCTATCCTCTGCACGATGTAAGTCTTTTTTAAAAAACAGTTTAATGTTAATTACATTTGATGCTACAACTAATAAAATGCATTGCTTCCCCTGTGATCAAGAATGGCTGTAATGGGTAAATATGGGTAATGTTTTTTTTAAAAGCTGGTAATTGGATCTTCTCTTTTAAATAAACTAATCCACTCCAAGTCCATGGCTTTGTGGCTGTTTGCGGGACATTGCCATGTGCAAATTTGGTTGCTTCATTCACCCACAGATGGACACAGTAATTGCTTTGAGACACCTAAACAACATAAGCACTATATCAAACACAGGATTCTTCTTATTAAGTTCTGATGACACCTGGTCTATTTAGGTGAAATTGTATTTAAAACAGTTTTGGATCATGGTCTGTCTCTTATTCTTTTTACTCTTTTTAGCTAACAAGTAATAGCTTGTGGAATATTTCTGATTGGTGGTTGTATTTCTTTTCCGATAGTGTTGTTATCTGTGCTTTTTTTTCTGCTTGTGTTACATTTGCTTAGAAACTTGTTTAGCAAAAAGTGGTTTTTTTTTTATCAATTAAATATTACACATGGATGCTGAGAGGGGAAATTCTAACAGAGAGAATGTGTTATTGCTGCATGGAATAACGTTCCTTTCTTATTCTCTGTAGGGTTCATATGAAGGGGAATCCATTGAGCCAAACGACAGGAAGGTTAGTAAAAGATTGAAGCATTCTCACTCTTAACACTTGCAGTGTAACCTTTTGTGATGTTGCTCTTGTGAGACCGGGTTCTATGGTTGCTGTGCAGCAATCGTATATCACCAGCTTTGTGCTGCATCAGTTTAAAACCAAGTTCCCGCAGGGGCTCGCTGGAGCCCTAAACCAGCACACAGCATTTTCTTTAAACTTGCTTTCACATCGAACATGTTGTTAGTATGATTATCGTAGTGATCAAGTTTGTGGGGCGATGATACAAAACTGAAGTGTTTGCTATTTAACGTATTATACTCGTCACAAGCCAGTAGTTATTTACTGTGCTGCTTAATGCTCTGCTAAGCAGCACTTTACAGCAGTGTGGTCCAAATGGTGGCCCACGGGCCACATCCGTTCCCAACTTCCTTGTCCTCCGAGCAAGTGCAGGCCCCATGCCAATCAGGAGGTAGTCACCGGGGCTCAAGCCCTGCCGGGCAAAGGGACTGGCGAATCCGGATAAAATATTGCTTAAATAAATATAGAAGTCGCTGGGAATGCTCAACAGGTCAGGCAGCATCAATGGAGCGAGGAATATCGCTTGTGTGACCCACAAATGTTTCTCAAGTCCAGCATCCAGCCCTCGGCAGCCAAAAGCGTGGACCACCCTGCTTTACAGCGTAGTTAATTTGAGCGGCACATTTAGTACTTGAGCATTTGTTCCAGCAAAATTGCACAGATTAAGACTCGAACAATGGACTTTTCCACTCTGGGAACAAAGGTTTTGAGACACAATATTGGCAAGATCCTGCTTGGAATTGCTTGGGCACACAGATTGCTGTTAATGTACGTTTATTCAAGTTAAAGGGGGATGTTTGTGGGGCTGTTCCCCACACAACAGATGCTGTGCTACAGATGTGAGCTGTGAAACTTTGGCAGTGCTCCACTTGTCCTCTTGTCTGGCTAAGTGATGGGAACAAACTGAATGCTGACTGTTTGTGCTATGATTTCACTGCCCCTGCAGTAAATATATTTACAAGTAATGTGGTTAAAAGCACTTACCACATTTTGGAAATGTGCCAGAGAAAATCCTGTTTTCTCATACTTGGATCTAAACAAAATATCATGCATTTTATTTTAGTTTTGGCCTCCAGGAAGTGGCCTCATCTTCCCTTCCCCCATCTCACTCCACATTCACCCACTCTCCCTTCTCTCTTATACCCTCCTCCTCCCCCCAAAGTTTCTGAGACCATATGTATATTTCCAGGGATACATTTTACCAGGAAAACACTTTTAAAACACTTAGTTCATAAAATGAGAGTTTTAAACATTTATATATTATCAGTCATCTTATTTTGCCCAAAAATATGCCGAAGCTGAGGATTATTGAATCAAACGGTCTCTCTCCTGGTTTATACTGATAGATGGGATGTGGCAACGTTAACTGACTGAAAGTATTCACCAAACCTATTCAAATCGACACCCAAGGCTTTATATTGAAAAAGGTCCATCTGCTACTCCCAATGTTATGTGGATATACCTATGTATTGTCATTTCCCCACAAAAATATACAGTCAATTCACTTTAGCGTATTTTCTGTGAAGCACTTTGAGACGTCTCAATGAAGTTATCAGGCGCCAGATCAAATGCAAGGTTTAGTGATGAGACAGCCATGTCTGATTGAACAAGCACAATTATTGCACTATCCGAAGTATCCCAATGAGTCAAACTGCCTCATTACCTTATGCATATCAGCAACAACCTGCTTTTTGTATAGAGCACACGTACTATGTTACAATGTCAGTAACATAGCTGTGTATTGCAGCATATCATATCAGTGTAGTAGCAGCAGAGGTGTAAAACTGGTTCCCAATGGTAGACTTTTTGCGCCTTGGAACGTCTTCCCGACGTGAAAGGTGCTATACAAATGTAAAGTCGTTGTTGGAGACTAGCAGGGTTTAGTGGAGATGGCTCATGGCCTCAGGAAAAACTCCTAAAACCGTAAGAAAGGTTTAAATAAAAAATATATATATATTGAACAATCTCGAAGCGAGTGAGTGCAAGAGCGACTGAAAGAACACAAACCCATCAAGTAACTGGTTTTAAGTATAAATGTTTATGTGTTGCCAAAGTACACAGCAGGGTCTGGCCACACGGATCACTGATGGGATTTCCCATTATAAAGTCTGAGTGAAAAGGTTACTGTATTTAGAGATCAAAGGCAGTGTGACCCTCTATCTGCTTTCGAGTATTTCCTACACTTGTGTACTTGTCCAAAATGATTTTGTGAGCGAAGCATCTCAAAGGTGCGAAAGACCAAATTGACATGCAAGTGTATTGCATCGAAACATCACAATGTTTCTAAGTCATTGGTATTGCAGTGAATGAAATGCATGTCTGCTATGGTAACCATGCGCATTGCCTAACTGTGATGGTGTTCGGGTTTTGGCAAAGCAGTCTGCGGTTTAAAAACAATTCCAAAAATGGTCCATCTAATAAATCAAGTGGCACGCTACAAGAGTAAACAGAAATACAGTGGGTAGCCACAGCACATCATTCAACCACGGTCAATGATCTTCAGAGGCCTCTTTAAAATCTGCCAAGAGTTGGCGTAGGCTTTGAAGCACTGGAACACATTTTAGGGCAAGTGGAATATAAGCCACATAACCAATTTCTGTCTCTTCTATGCAGCACTGCTTTCCTGACGGTGGTCATTTCTAGGCCTGGTGAGAATTAACAGGGCAATATGACTATTTTTAACACTGACATTTAGAATTTCACACATTTCAAAGAGCTTAAATTCTGTCTGGTGGAATTTCACCCCCCCCCCCCCACCGCCCCACTCCATGTCCTGCAGCTAAATTGAGTACTTACTGCCTTTGAAAATTAAGTAACGTTTTGATTGTGCGTGTAATATATATATATAGATATATATCTATACATAAGAATGTATGTGTGTGCAGAGGTCAGGTTAGAGGGCATTATTGGGCTATGATATGAGTGTTGCTGGGATAACGTTGCCTGCAGACGCTCTAGATTTACACTCGCATGTGAAGTATGGCCACTTTGGTGAGATAACCGAGGTGTGTTCTGGACAGTCTTTGCAAAGATTTAGAAGAGAAGTGAGGGGTGGGAGGATGTTAAGGAAACTAATTGAAATCAAGCCAGATTGTTTATCCCCAACAGTATACATTTACCATCTCTTAAGATCTTACTTACATAATGGCGTCAGGTGAAATACCTTCTTTCCACTTGGAAAAGTTGACACAGACTTTACCAATATAAAGGTGTCTGTTGCGATGCTTCTTTCTGAATCTTGTATCACAAAGGTAACAATAAAACCAACACTCTGTGACATTAACTCCGCAATGGGGAATGGCCTATTATTTTTAAATTGGCTTAGCAGATGAGAACAATTGGAACTTTAAAATAAGTCCGAGTTATAGTGGCACAAGGCCAGATTGTGTTTTCAATTCCTGGAAAAAGGATTACTGTTGAACCATGTTTTCTTTATATTTCTTAGGACACAAAATTGCTATTTTTTTGTGTCCTGTTTACCAATGCATAAACGTTTTAATCCAGTGAATTGAAACCAATGCAGTCCTGGTGTTTGAGAGTTGACCTGCTGAATTATGTCTTTATATCCTGCACACTTCAGTATTGCAAGGAATAAAGATATGGTTCTTTCTGGCTGTAAATCTGGAAGTGAATTTTGCTAATGTGAAAAATGTTCAATGCCGACAGAACCTCCTGGTCTACTTAAATACTCGCTAAAGCAAATTTGCTTTTCTGTTTTTACAAGAATAATCCTTGCATTTGATAAAGCCCATTATCACGTTTTCTGGACGTCTCAAAACACTTCAGTGAATATAACTGTAAAGCAAATTGACTGTATATTTTGTGGGCAAAACACAGCAGCCAATTGCGCACAGCAATGTCTTACGAACATTAATGGATTGAGTGAAACCACTTTAACATGAACCCACTAAAATACCACCAAACAAAGCAATTCAATAGTGTTGCATTGGATTCACGTCTACACACTATCACTGTTCTTTGTGCTTTCTCTGTGCTACTTGCTCCTATCTCTTATTTTGTGAGTTTGCCTTTGATTTTCAGTCTGACTATCCCAGCTGTTTCTCAAAGTGCCTAAAATATCCTGCAGGAAGCAATGACGTCCCACTGTAATGTAGTGTCATCCAAGTTTGATGTGGAAATCTGTATGTCTAATTTAGACAAATTAGTCCTGTTGATAGATGAGTGCATTGAGATTTCCTATGGGAACAGCTAAAATCCCTTGTCCTACATCAGGAACCGTTTTGATATTCGAGTTGAAGTTCATTATTATTTGTGAACTGTTTTTTTTAAAAAGTGTATTATGATGACCAGTATGTGACTGCAGCTACTTTGCAAGGTCATGTGTATATGTAAATGTTCTCAGGCAAAGATTAATTAACTTTTTTTGAGGGGGGGGGGAGATGCAACGCTATGTCGTAAAGTCATAAGTTATAAGTTCATCTTGTTCTCATTTCAAAATATCTCGCCACAAAATAAAAGCATGACAAAAGTTCATGTAAACCTTCTAGTCTTAAATCCAGTGGGTTAATTACACCCGGCTTGGCGATAGACCACAAAAACTGCCCTGGACCCATCTCAAATGTTTTTCTGTGTGTGATGTTTGTTTATCTTGTGTAGTCTGGGTTACAGTGGGTGGTGGTGGTTGGAAGGGGTGATACCTTGTCTCCGGCTGAAATGTCTAGCAGTCAATTTACCAGATTCACAATGTAAGCTGTACACAATTCTGCAATACACAGCATTAGTTCTTGCCGTGGTTGCATCACATGTGCCGTGAGCTATATAATAAACAAATAAACTTCTTTGAAAAACCAAAACACAAGATGTTGTGGATCAGCAGACACTGGGGCCTCGATGAACATATGTACCTTAAGTGAACTTTTGAGCCTTGGCTCTTAAATGAATTTTTGTCTGAACCCAAACTCCCGAGTACAAATTCATCAACTTTTAAAATAATGGTGTTGCGTTGGATTTTGGTACATCTGATCACTGGCTTGAATATTCATTCCTCCTCTGTTCTTACAGTGCGATCCCACAGATCAAATATTGATTAGTTTAATGCACAGATTGAGAATGATTGGATTTTCATGAAAATCTTAATTAAACTCTTTCCTTGCACTGTTCTTGATTAACATTCACAAACCCTCCACCTGGGACTGCAGGTGGGAGAGGTGGCACACAGTTCAACCAGCAAGTAAAACTCTCTTGAATCTTTACCACAGAAACGCCAGTGCAAAGTGTAGTGCTTCTATATACAGAAACAGCTTTCAGGGAACGTTACAGGGAATTACAGACTAATTTGGGACTTTCCTTCTCCGTCAGCTTCTGTATGAAGAGTGGGCGAGTTATGGAATGTTTTACAAATACCAACCGCTTGATCTCATCAGGTAAGCAAAAAAACATTTTTACTCCTTACCCTCCACCCCTCCTGATCCCAACCCCCAGCTCAGGTCCAAATCCTTGACAATCCAAAGGCGCTGCACAAATGTTATTGTTGTTAAAACTTTAGAAAATGAAAACGTTGGCAAATAATCTGAGACTTTAGTAACAGAAAATTGGACTTTTTCAGGAAATACTTTGGGGAGAAGATTGGATTGTACTTTGCTTGGCTTGGAGTGTACACACAACTGCTGATTCCAGCTTCCACTGTGGGCGTCATTGTGTTCCTGTACGGTTGTGCAACGGTCGATGAGAATATTCCCAGGTAAAATCACAGCTTCTTTTTCTAAATCGTTAACTCGTTCAAATTATTATTATTTTTGTTTGAAAAAAATTTCAGAGCAGGATGTTAGTTTATTTACATTAACACACGAGACCCCCAAATTCTTCAGTCTTGTCCTGTAAGAAATCTTAACGGAAAATCAGCCTTAAATTTAAAGTCGGTTCTGAAGAAAACTGAATTGAGAGTACTTTTAAGAAATTTCCATAATCCTTGCACCATCTTAGATTTTTAAGACAAATTTGCCTTAAGGGCCAAGACAAGATGGAATTTCAAGCCAACGCAACAGTTAATGCCTCGGTCCTGGAGACTGGAAAAAAAATCAGCAAGTTTCAACTGCTGATTGCATCTAATAACTACCCTGCTGAAAGTTGAGCTTGTGTGTATGTTGGGTGAAAGTGGTATTTGGTTTATTTCTCTTCATTTCCTCTCATCAATGCACTTGAGTCTGTGGAACTTGTGAAACGTTAAAACATTTTTCTTTAAAAATTGGCAAAAGGAAAAGAATGATATTTATTTAGATCTTTTGACTCACTTACCCCTGCAGATGTAGTGTGACAAACGGAGTAGTGAATAAGATTAACCAGGCAATTCTCCGTGAGAAACCAGTTTTATTGCCTAGAATAGATGCACCATCAGTAAAATAAATAGGATGAGTACTTTACGAGCAGGTGGTTTATAGAAATTGATTCACTTGTGTGTCCTGGTGTCCCAATTGGATTAATAAACACCATTCTAGAGGACGTATAAACAAATGAGTGTCAAGGACTGGTGTATGTCAGACACGCGTTTTTTTAATATTATATATATATACATATATTTTCACAGTATATAGGTGCACATTGTTATACATACACTAAATCGGTTCTGTGGAACCTTTCCCCTCTCGGGCAATCTTCTTAGCTCTTTCTTTTGCTGCAGTTTTTGTTTTTTTTATTTTTGTTGAAGTTGTTCAAATGTTCAAATAATTTCAAATGACAGATATCCAGCCGGTGGAAGTGAAGTTTGCGTTCTTCTAAGTGCTTCATACATCCTGTTAAAATAGTACCCAAGAAACGTTAGCACACCATGATGCTGAAATAATGAAGCTAGAATGAGATTGTAAAATAGCTTCATTCCTCAGAATGGCTGCCTTTGAAATCCTGCCTGGTAAATCTTTATTAACTTACGTGCAGCAGATTTTCCTTCTAGCTATTCATATGCATCTTAGCTGCATGCCCACAGTCAATCCTATGTTTTTCTTTAAAAATGTAGGTGGCTATTTTCTTCATGGGATTTAGGGTGACGTGCATATTAGTCGAGAGGGTTTTCTGGCTTATTTTTAAAGAAACCTGTCATGGGATTCTGGATGGAGTAGGTTAGCATAACATCCTTTCATTTGTAAAGTTTGGGTTCCAAATCCAGCCTACACTACATGAAGGATTACATTCTTCAGTCTGACTGTAAAGGATGCTCCTTGAAGTTGGATTTAGCAGCCTCAACCCAGTTCGTATCAGGTACAAGCACATAAATGGCCATAATTCAGTACAACATGGCATTAAATTGATTCACTCCCCCAAAGAGACCAAGACCATATCCTGGTGTGGAAACTGAAACAATTCACAGTGCCAAAGTGGGGGGGGGGGGGGGGTGGAACGAGAGTACACTTAACAGAGAGCAGAGAGAAATATTACCTTGTTAGAACCTGCTAATGCTTGTTGTAGAATCTTAGTGTAGAAATATCCTGTTTCCCCAGCACTGGCATCCTTCACTTTAAAAAGTCCGAACATTTGCCAAAAGTCGATTGAAGGTGGGGGGAGAAAAATCCTCAGGTTTTCTTAGTTCAAGTCAAGTACACAGGGGAACAATCAAACATAAGCATTAGATATCACAGCCTTAATATGATAACATTTATCATTATTGAGGGCAAAATGTTGGCACAGCCTAAGGGTGTTTGAAAAGATGAGTGTGTTTGCTTTCCCACTGCTAGTCATTTGAGAATGTCTGCTTGGCTGAAGTTTGTCGTCTGCTTTTATTAAACACAAGCTGCATTCCGATGCATCCTTTTGCTCATTTGAAGAACGTCAGTGTTGTGTGTGTTTACACTGTGAAGGCTTGAGGATTATTTTGAATATCGCTTCCCTGTTAAAAGTATTACACGCAATTAATGTATGAAGCAAAAAATGGCGAGATCATTGAAATCCATTGCAGTTGAAAGAGGAAACGCTTTATGAAAGATCTATTTGTTCTGGATGTAAAATTAGTATAAAATTACGTGGGTGGTTGAAATGTGTCAAAAGACTTGCTCTTATCGTTGTGTCTCAGCACTTACTCCTTTTGAGACAATTAGAATCGTTATAAAGGTAACTTTGGGCAGTACACAGCCAGCGGAGGAACGGACGAAGAGTTGAGCTGTCACTCTTTTCTCTCTTCCCCCTGTTAAATGGAGACCATCCTCGTATGCCATATTCAGAGGGAAAGTAAACTTGTAAAGGACTCGATTGTGGTAAGTTAATTTACATTCCATCTATCGTACCAGGTGCTTCACTTTAAATAGACCTCAAATAGGTAATGTCCGTTAATTTAACACAGAGCGCACTTCATATAATATTTTTATAAAGACTCGTGTGAGATTCATTTTCCTTCTGCATGTGCATTATTATTTTTGTTATATTTGAACAGTAATTTGTTGTACTTTTTAAACACATTTTTTTATCATTTTCTACCTGTACAGATTATTCATCAATATCATACTACCCTAATGCCTCACAGAAGGAAAATGATAGTTTTGTGAAGTTCTGTGGGACCAAGAACAAGAAGATCCGTGAAGACCCAGATATCTCCAAGAAAATGGGTTCCTCAGATGGAAAAATATGTGGGTTCCAATAGATTGATCTGGAAGAGAGAGAGCGAGAGAAAGTTTTGAGAGCAGTGGTCAGAATATAGTTCCTTGAGTCTAATTCAGTCATCCGGATACTAGGAAAGCCCCAAAGACTCGAGGCACTGGAAGTATTGATGTTTTTGTGCAGCCAGACTGATTTCATAATAGCTGCACAATCACCTATATCTTGCAGAATATAAAGCAAGATTAGATTGACTCAACAGTTTAATATACTGGTCCACCTTTACGGGCAACCTTCCATGCAGTTAGGATGAACAGTAATCCAAGCTCACGTGAACAATCAGGTGACATTGAGGGCATAGCCTTGTGTATTATTACAACTGATGTATTGCTTCCATCAGAGACTGATCCTTAGAGAATTCCTAACCCCTCGAGATCCCAGTCTCTGACTCCAATTTGAAAGTGAATTCTATTACTCTTTAAGTTGTATTGAACACCTCATTTAGCAATCAAGTAACTGCTTTTTAAAATGTGTGTGTGTGTATATATTTACTTCCTCATTGAGGAAGACTTATAAAATAAAGTATTGTTCCCCTTTTGCCACTTTTGTCTCCAGCTATTTTCTTGTGGTCAGAAGCGTGAAAGATAGCATTGCTTTTGGCTGATATTGTTCAATCAGATCAGCGGATCTGTTTTTGTGTCCTGTTGTTGCCTGGCATTAGGGTTGCTATTCCTACAGCTGTATGATGACTATGATTTTGGTGATAACACTGACATTTTGTAGGTACTGTAATGTATTGATTGCCAAACCTAGGACGTATGTAAATGTGTGGGTAAAGCCATGGAAACTGTCAAAACATTCGTAATGCCCAGCTATTTGTCATTCAGAGACTAAGGTGGTGAGTTTCTCAAATCACTTCTTTAAAATCAAATGCTCTTAATTCTTAGGAAAGGATCCCACCATAAAGGAGCGATGTATGTATGTGTATGTACTTGCAAGTTCTTTCAACTTTCAGTAGCACAGTCTACTTAGTTCTTTCCACAGAAGCATCGCAGCACCTGAAGATACTAATAATGTGTTCAAAATTGTGCTTCGGGTTTGAAAATCTTAAAGGCTCCCATTATCCTTAATGTGCCTGGGACCACCTATCTAGTTGAAGGTTTTATTGCAGCTCTGTGAGAAATAGACATGCAGTAACTTTGTGATTTTCTTTTTCTGACAGTATGGAGATGTGTGACCATCGATCGAATATTACCATGTGTCCACTCTGTGACCAAACCTGTAGCTACTGGAAGCTGAGTACGACCTGCGCCACAGCACGAGCCAGTCATCTGTTCGACAATCCTGCAACGGTTTTCTTTTCTATTTTCATGGCGTTGTGGGGTAAGGAGGCTCATCCAGTGCATGTCAAAACTACCAGCAACTCTGGGCGTACACACAACATACTTTACCAGCTTTAGTTTGTCTGCAAAATTACAGTAATTCCAATTTTTTTCAATCTATTTGTCCTTTCTCCTGAGAACTATTATTTAAACCGTGAGAGCAGATTCGCGGAATTTTTTCCTTCGATTTTCCTGTGGCATGAAACGTATACATTCAGTTGACTTAATTTAAACAGATGAATGTACGGTCCAAGAGTACATTATTGCAGAATCTTTAAATCTTTTAAATCCTGTCGATGAAAAGCACTTTTATTAACTTGTGTAGCATTTCACAGAAAATAATCAAAGCAAATACTGTTGGAAATTTTTTTAAAAACATCACCAGTGATGTACATTTGAGCAGATGCTACAGTAGAAAAATATTTTTCGCAGACGTTCTTGTTATGCTACTTGTTTTGCTTGTCTAGGCTAGCCTTTCATTACTCCATGGACTCTCTCCTTGCTCCCCCGTGCACTTGTCTAACTATTTGGCGATTGTTTGCAGAACATCTGTGCCTAAACATTGTCGGAAGATGTAGTTTTATCATATTTGTATTCTCAGTGCAGCACAACCGATTGCACGTTACCTCATTTAGTTTGCTTGCTGTGGGATTCCCATGTTAACAAACTTTCCCCTGGGACTGTTCACCTCCAGGAGATGCTTGATTATATCTATAAAGTCTATGTTTATCCAGAGTACACCAGACAGGGATTTAGAAAAGTAGAAAGAAAGATGTGTGATCAATCTTCAAAATTCTGCAATTTAATTTCTGCAGAGAATAGGTTTTAAGTTGTGGCAAAATTTACGAAGTTGTTTTTTTAAAAACTCCTTGCCTTCTGTTTCTTTCCATTCTGTGTCCGTCCCATTAGTTTTTCCTTCAACATAATTCTTTTCCCATGTGAAGAAGCAAGACGAGTGAGTCAAATATTCTCTGGGGTCATCAGATGTCAATGGTGGTGAATATCTATCCCACCATAGGATGCACAATGTAAGGACTTTTCCCAAAGGTGAAATCGTCTGATCTAGCGGCATGGTTGCTGAATGCCAAAACACATCTTAAGTATTGAACAAAAAAGTTCAATGTAGGAACGTGTGAAGTGGTGCGTTTTGGGGGAAAGAACAGGGAGCAGAATTTTACCCTGGGTAGTAAAACTTCTCAATGGAGTGGAAGAACAGAGGGATTTTGCGATAGAAATATATAATGCGTTAAAGTGGAGTTTTTCAGGTAGAGACTACATTGATAAATGGCATTCTGGATTTTATATCCAGAGATATTGAATACGAGAGTAAAGAACACTGGGCCACTCAGTGCGATATGATAGGATGTTGAATTATAGCTCTAGATGGAGCAAACACTGATATGAGGAGTGAAAAAAGGGGCAGAATGGCCTCCGACTGTGCTGTACATTTTAGATAAATTGGTCTTTGCTGTATGGTTCCAGTAGGTTCTGCTTGATTCACAATCACAAAACACCAAACCTACAAATACATATTTAAATAGAAATGATCTTGCGGGAACTATGAAACCAATTGTGACCATTTAATACCATGACATAGTTACGATGGAGAAAACATAAGTTTATTAATGAACTGAGTCCATGTTATTTGGGTTTGTAGATTCTCTTCAATCTTGTTGTTGAAGAGCCAGGACAAGACAAAGGATGGTTAATGGCACCAATTTTGTTTTTCAAAGTGTAGATTGTAAAAGGAAGCGAAATAAAGAGGAGTTTTACTGTCCTGGAGTAGGAGACAGTCTGCGATTCTTTATCTAAACATAAAAAGAATGCGCAGAGCAGGAAGGGAGTGTAGGTTATTGTTGTTGGAATGAACATGATTTGGAGCTTAGAAGGAACAAGATACGAAAATGTCAACCATACAGAATATAACAACTCAAAAAAAACGTAATTTTTTTTCTTGCAACAGCATTTATATTTCCATTCTAACTCAAAGGTATTTAGGAGCACAGGACTAAGTGGAAAGTTTATTTTTTTTTAATTTAAGGCATTATGCGGATCAAAGTTCATTCAAGCTGGTAGCTCTGTTACCCATCAAAACCTAAACACTTATTGAATGTAGCAGTTTAAATCTTTGGACAATTGTATCTGTATGAATCTACTTAAGGGGATATTCTATTATACTAATTTTGGTGAATTTCTTACTGATTTATCTTTCAACGACATGAATAAATGTTACTGCTAACTCAGAGCTGAGACGGAGTGCCAGGAATAGAAATGGCATAACTGTCACCAGCCTTTATACTTTATAGCAAAGAATGGCTTTGATATCCTCATGTTTACATCAAACCACGGAAGTGGCTTCATTTAATTTGTCTATTACTGCAATTGGCAGGAAGCCATATTGACAGAAATAAAATGTCATAGTACAGATCCGTATCCCTCTGCCTGAAACTTCAGCTTTGAAAACCAGAAAGGGACACTGATTTAAGAGAAGCTTACATATGGTATTGAATTGTTAGCAAAACAAAAGGATCTAATGGATGATTGTAAAAGAAAGTTGGTTAGTATTCCGTCATGACTGTTAAATATTATCAGAATAGGGTTTTAATATTTATATGGCATGAAAAAAAATTAAATATTAAGAATGGGTGTTTTTATGCACAGATGTGAACAGTGGTGTTTATAGCCTACACTATCTTACAATGAGGGGCTAATTATTTATTGTGGGCATATGAAACGTGCCAAAATTCTGCATCTGTTTGTGTTTTTTTTAAAACTTGAGTTTGTTGTATGACCGACTCTTTAATAGCTTAAAATGGTTCTTTTGAAAAAAACCTAGGCTGTTCGTTGTACAGTCTGAGATCTTTTGAGGGATCCCAGCGAAGGTGCAGTCTGATTTGCACCACCGGTCACTACTGCAGGAGGATACCATTTGCACTGCTCTTGAAACCATGATTTCTGTTTTTGTGGGCAATAGATTTCTAGTTGATTTGCAATACTTCACCTCATATTTGTACTGCACACTTAGCAATGAATTTGCTTCAGATCACAGCGATTTCACCACCAAACACAGTGTAAATGCAGCAGAATTTATAGAACAATTCTGCGTTTTCCTATCGTGCTTCCTCCCCTCCCATCTCTCCTCATCACTTTTGACTACTTTTTGCTTCCTTTAGGGTAAGGTTTCACTTGTGCTGGTTTCCCCAGTCAAGCTATTCAACTGCTGGGTAATAAAGCCAAATTCAATCTGTTACCAGACTCCACTATCGGCTCACTTTCCGACAGGCGTCATTAAATGGTGATTGGAATTGAAAATCGTTTTCCTACGTATCTTCCCCACTCCCTAACTCCTCATTCAACAAGACCAATTATAGAGCCTGAACTACTATCCTGGCCGAGATCCAGATTCAAACTTGCAACTCTCTGATCTGCATGACTTGATTTGAGTGCTGTGAGATTTGCTGGATCGTGGACATGTCAACGGTGAATAAATGGGATGAAATGCAAGATAGATATTCTAGAGTTACTTGATTACTCTCTGGGTGAAATTTGGTACAGTCTTTTATTCTCCTGAAGATACAATGGGAATGGTGGACTCTATGAGCTGAAGTCTTCTCTCGTTCTACTGTGGCTTGTGTTCTTACCTGGTTTCAAAATCAGTTGCCTTGTGATGTTCTCAATCTCGTGGTCCAGAATGGAGGGATTCTGTTGATGCTCCAAGATATGCACTTTCTTCAAAGGATGCAAAGATGATATATTTGATCAGATTAAGATAAATGGATATTTTTCACTTGTTTCTACTTTGGGTCCGTCAAGGAAATGGCTGTCACTTAACTTTTTAAATCTTTGTCAGGTAGATAGCCCAATGAGATTTCTGTTGTCTGTTGACTCCACTTTCTGCATTGTGGGTAACTACATCAGAAAGACCAACTGTGACTGAATCCCTCCAGGCAGGTGTAAGAAGTGATTATGCCTGTTATGAAATGCTACATTAACTTCAGTGCTGGAAAGATCAAGTCAATAACGTTCAAGAAAAAAACGTTGAATTGACCATAATTTTGCCCAAGGATCACTGAGGAATGGAAGCTCTTCAGTTGTATTCAGTTTTTAGCTGTGTAGTATTCGATCTATGACAAGGCAACAAAGTGGTAAACTAAACGAAGATGGCTGCAAGTGATGGTGGAAGCTGGAACATATCAACAAAATTTGCTCAGCAATGGAATGTCAAAGCTTGAAGGCTGCTCTGCAGAGAAATGAATCATTTGCTCCTGGAATCAGTACAGGCCAATTCATCAACAACAACAACAACTTGGATTTATATAGCGCCTTCCACGTCGGACGGCGTCTCAGAGCGCTTTACAGTAACGGATCCCGGGACCGAGCCAGGGGAGGAGGGTGACCAAAGGCGCGGTCAAAAAGAAAGGTCTTCACCAGAGACCTGAAAATAGGAAGGGAGGGAGCAAGATGAAGGGAGTGAAGAAGGCAGTTCCAGAGCCTCGGGGCATAGTGGCTGAAGGCACGGCTGCCGAGGGTGGAGCGGAGGCCTCGGGGGGCGAGGAGGAAGCCAGAAATCAATCCAGAAATCAATCCAGAACATCTCCTTGGTGATAATAGACTACACTATGTCAAAGACCATCTCTTAACAAAATCAGAGAGATGTGACTGGGTTGTTAATCTTTAATGCAGAATTCTAGCTGGATCAGCCAAATAATTCAGAACTGCTAACAACTATCCCCCAAGTTAATGCCACAAACACAAGAACTGCTGTAACTTCACCTCAATCATTCTGCATCTGCCCAAAGCTTTGTTGCTGATTTTCTCTGCAAAGCTTCAAAGACAACATCTCCCTGTCTGAGGGATACTCTCCCAAATGACACCATTCCTTGAAACGCTGCCTCTTTCATACAGTGAATTAAATTGCGTGAATTAAGTTAGTTTTAAAAAAATCTATGGATTGCTGATCAGTATTCCGGTGCAGTGTATCCAAGCTTGTGTCACCAAGAATTGTCAAGGTCAAACCTATGAGAAAACTATCCTTTCTGCAGTTATCGGTAGCTGCAAATTTGAGTGTAGAAATTGGATGATTCTCTTGATGTTCCAAAAGAGAACTCGGATTGTAATGTTTAATTCATATGTCTGTGTATATGTACACATCATTTCTCACATCCCATTCCTGCTAATACAGCAAATTTCCTGACAAGATTTATGCTGTGCACTCAACAATGTCATTTGTTACTCCTATTGTTGATAGAGGGAATGTTGTAAAATATATTATTAAATGTAAAGTTTAAGGGGAATGTTTTTTTCTGCCTTGAACGTTTGTCATTTTAACCCTGATCTGTGCATGTCCATTTTTTGCCCAGGACGATTCACTAAATTTGCATTTTCAATAGTTCTGTGGGTGGGGAAAACGCTGTACAAATAGCTGAGGATTAGTAGCCGGGGTGGAAATCTACATTTTTGGTTCACTTTCCACCAAAGTAATGGTTATCTTGAATCCTTTCACATCCTGATTTTAAAAAAATTACTTGAGACATCCAAAGCTCTCTTGTGACACCACAGTGTTATCCATAAAAATGTCACTATTTAACAACATGCCCTCAATCATCACTGGGTAACATGCAGGGGATAGGACAAGAGAATTGATAGAAGCACTTGACTTGAAACCTCTTCTTAGAAGAAGCCCTCTAGACAGACAAGATCGCACATGTGTAATAAAAGGACTGTGTTTTATTGCAGCTGCCATGTTCTTGGAACACTGGAAAAGATGCCAAATGAGGCTAAATTACAAATGGGATCTTACCGGATTTGAAGAGGAGGAGGTTAGCGTTCAGAAGTTGTGAATTTCAAAATTCCTTGTGAAATTTTTGTATTTCTTTAGGCGAGACGTGAATGTCCCACCTTTGTTATTTTGCTGACTCTCAATAGTAATGCGTGTTTTTTTTTCTTCCATTGCTGATGCCCTGAAGGAGCGATTAAAGGTTTGGATTTTTTTAATATAAATTTAAATACTGTCTTATCTTTGGGTGTGGTGTGTGTGTGGTGTACGTGTGTGTATATTTATCTAGCTATTGGTGGGTGCTGTGTTTTCGGTTGTCAACAGGTTAACCTGATGATTTTTATTGAAGTTGATCATTCGCATTCTTTAGTGGTTTTATTGTTTTAGTTTGACTTAGCTTCGTTTTCAAGAGAGACTGGTGCCCTTGTGTAATCAGTCTTTTGACTATGTCTCTTAACAAAATAAATTGTCTGCTAGAACAGATTGAGTGGAGGGAAGCCTTCCTGTGAGGAGCATCCTTACCTCCCAGTTATTCCAGTTGATTTATCCTATCCCCCTAGGATAGGATTGCCAGACAGTGGTAATTGCAACCCTTGTCAATTGTCCCAATTGCAAACTAGTGTGATAATGAAGACCAAAATGGTTCTTATCCCTAATGGGAATCAGTTACAGCCCATTGAGCACACAGCCACTGTAAAACAAAACATATTTTGTTTAAATCTAAATGGCTCCTTTCATATAAATGCTGGTTTGAATATCTCTTTTCCCCTGCTTCCTGGCAGGGCAATTAGTATTGCCCTATCTAATAGGGTCTCGCATTGTGAATCATGCCCTCATGTCTGTCCACATAGGTACAGGGAGATTGTGTTCCAGTCCAACCTTAAGCAACTTTGTAATCCTAAAACTGATTTTGTTTAATTTATTTTTATGCATTGTTTTGTTTGTTGTATCTTTGGATGAAAAGGCTTGATGTGAATGTCTGAACATGTGTGTGTGTGTATTTTATATATAATGCAGTGGGATGGTAGCACATCAAAAAATAGCTTGAAAATATATTAAATGGTAGGACTACAATGTACAATGAACTTCAACTATAGACACTATGTACATTCACCGGTAAACTGAACTGTGGGAATTCAATAAGGGAATAATTCAATCACTTGACCTATGAGTTCTTCTTGAACCATTTTATAATATATTGTAATAAAAGATTTATTTTAAAAAAAGCTTAACATAAGAGGATTGTGTGTAATTTTAACATACTACTGCATTTGCTTATTGTGTATTTCTATATGTACACTTTGTCTAATTGTTTTCCTTTTTTAAAAAAACCCCACAGGATCATCCACGGCCTGAATACGAGGCCAAGATTTTGAGTAAAGTTTTAAAGAAAGAAAGTAAGAATAAAGAGGTACGGGTATATTCCCAGCGCTGTTAATATGTCTGGGTTTTTTTGTTTGTCAAATGCTGTAGATATTTTATGTAATAACGCGTATCTCGATATAAGTGTGTTCTCAAGTTTCAGGTCTTTGTTTCAAGTTCTTTTTAAGCTTTTGGTATTGCGGTTTTCTGATTTTTTTAAAAGCTCAAAAGAACAGTGTTGCAATTATATCAACCTACATACTGTACTAATCAACGTCTTTCTATGTGAAACACCCTAATATTCAAGGACCAGGCAGTGCATTGAGTCAAATGTTCTTTCATGGTTGGGTCTTGAGTTTAAACCCAGACCAGTGTGTTCAGATTAAAGACTCCCTCCCACCAACAAATGCATTGCAAAATGAATTCAGGTCCACAGCACCTGAATTGGAAATCTTATTTCGTGCAACTACACCGAGAACTGGAGGTGGATATTATGCTACTGCAGTAGGCAGTACTTTTCTTTGGTTGGGATTAAAACACGTTGCCGGCAGAGCGTAAGAATTACTCTGTCTGCTTCACCTGACCTGGCTGTTCTGGGTTCCAAATGCAGAAAAGTGTTCCATATCCCCCTTGTACCAACATCTCGTCTTGTGCACAAGGAAATAAGTAATTTATTTAAATAGCCTGGTGTTGGAAACCCCTCTGTCGGTCTATGTTGATGATATTTTATTGAATTTAACGCCCTGCCTATGTGGTCCTTTTCTCTGCCTGCCATCAGAAGCAATCGGAATCTGCGGAAGAAGGCACAAACAAATGGAGAAACAGAGTTTTGTCTGCCATGGCTGGGGTGAAATTGGTACTAGTTGAAAATAAAACTTCTTATATTTTTTTTCCCCCCCTCCCTCCCGAGTTTGTTCAGAAAGATACGGCCTTGATAGTCATAATTTAAAAAAAATGCAAGGATTATTAGAATTGATTTGTTTCGGTAAAATGTTTGGCTTTTCAGTGCCTATTTGCAGCAGCATTCAAACATCATATACATTATTCTACAAGTTTAAAACAAAGCACAGAAAATAATAACAATTTTATAGATGCTGTTGGCTCTCCATAAGAAGTCAAGGTAAAGATACGATTGCATTTCACTTGCCTCTACAAGGGGTATTACTGCACTTATTACAGTTTTGTTTTTAAACATGTAACCATGCCAAGTCAAATATAAGAATGTGTATTTTTAGTCCAAAATTAATTATTTCCAAGAAAATGCAGGCCATGATGGGTTTTTCTCAACAAACTGATGGATTTTTATTTTTGGAAAAAAAAACTTTTGTTTTGCTTCAACAAATGCATTCGATTGTCATTGTAGTGTATTACATTCGTCTGGAATGACGGTGCATGATGGTAACTGGATGATTTGAATAGACACCTTTCCATTAATATTTTTGTTTCCAGTCACATAGTTGTGTTGTCACTGTGCATGTGAGTAGTTGTTTTGTGCGTGTGGCCTTTATACATTAGGCGACTGTGGCTTTGTGATGCTTGAGTTGTAGTTCAAGGTGTCAGTGTGGTCGGCACCCAGTGATGTCAATATCTGTGCTTAGCTTCTAGTTTTGAAGTTTGTCCTTATATATTTCACGTGGGTCATATCAAACGCTTGACTTTTGAAATTACACAGTGAAGTGTCATACTGCTGGTAAAGTAAAACTGTATTAAAGTAGGATAGTGATGGGGCCTATCACCATAGAGGGTGGTCGTACAGCCATCAAGCTGATATACTGGACTCTCAACAACGAGAGCAGCACTGAATTCCAGGATTGAATGAATGCACTTCTTACTTGAGGTTCTCCTATAATGAGATTTTCTTGACTGGTGTGAGTTAGGTTATCTGGCCAAGTGTGCATGAGCATTTCTTCCTGCAACACTCGGGGCACCTGTGCTGGCTGGGATCTAGGAGACTCACCATCAGCAATGTCACATTGAAGTGTGCTGGCTGCATTCCACTGGATATAAGGGAATGAAACATCAATTAAAAATTGATGAGACAGATAATTTTGTGGCTAAGTTGCAGGTAAGATATGCAACCAAGTACAAAAGCAGTTAGAGTAATGTCTGTCTAGATGCACACTACTACAGCAACAGCAAATATATAGCACCTTCCACGTCAGGAGTATGTCTCACGGTGCTGGACAGTCCAGGGTTTGCACCCGAGCTGGGGATTGGAATCAAAAAGGGTGGACAGCAAGTGGGGTGGGGGTGAAAGGATGACCAAAGACATGGTTGAAGAGGAAGTTCTCATTTGGGCCTTGAAGGAGGCAAGGGAGGGGAGCGAGGTGAGTGAAGGGAATTCGGGGTGGAGTTCCAGAGGTTGGCGGCAGAAAGGCTGAAGGCCTGACTGATGACTGACGAGCCAAGCCTTATAGCGTACATTTTGTCACGGCCCCTTATTAATATCCTCCAGCACCTCTAATAATTAAAGTGTTGGATTTATAATTGTACATTGTGTGTAATTGGTCTCACTTGATTGGTTGTGTTGTCATTGGTGTCTCTTAGGATACTCTCCCCTTTTAGAAGACCACCGATTTCCAACGTTCTGCTTTTGCGGTGGGGGTGGGTTTAATATTCATGTCAAAAACATTAATTTAAAGCATAGTTCATGGCAGCATGTGCTTGACGCAAGTTCTCTATCCACCCGCTTCACCTGAAAAGAGATTCATAAATCGATTATCAAAGTAGTCTGCGTATTAGCAAAAAGGAATGTTTCACACTGCCTTTACCACAGAAATACTCATCTACTCCCAATCTTTACCATTTAAAAAGTAATGTATTTAACTTTGTTGACGCTCCAATCGGGGAAGCTATCATGCACGACCAAGAGCACTACAACTTGATTGTGCAGAACTTTACCTCAAAGCTTCATTTTCCCAAAGCCTATTAATGGGAGTCAACAGCAGGGATTGTTTAGAATCAATTAATGCTAAGCATTGATGCCTTGTGTTTTCGCATTAAGCAATGTCGAATGTTAACGTCATCAGATTTGGATCCGTTAAGTAAAAATCCAATAGAACAAATCCCGACAAATGCAGGGTTTGCAGTTATTTCATTTGGGTCTATTTAATCAACCGTCTTGCTGTCCAGGTAAGATGATGGCGTTCATGATCAGATAAGGACTTATTTTGATCTGAAGCTCGTAGCACACCTCTCAGCTGAACGGTGACTTTTGTAGCATTCATTTTTCACTGGTTCTGCTTTTCTCACAGACTGAAAAGGAAAAACTGACTTGGAAGGACCGTAGCCCAGCCTACCTGACAAATATAGTCGGCATTTTGTTCATGGTAAGAATTTCTGTACATTTTATTTTAATGTGATCTGCAAGCTATTCATTGGATAGGAAAATGACTTTACCGGGGGGTATGACTCTTGTATTACGATACCTTTCAACTTTCGGATGTTGGATACCTGCTAAAGTATTATTGCATGTTTGGAATCCACAATTTAGAAACTTATAAATGAATCAGCCCAGTGACAGTTGACAGCAATCAAATAATTTGATTTTAACAATTCGCTGTTGGACTAGGAAATCAGCAACTTCACAGTAATTTGCGAAATAATACATTCGGTACATTTCCTCTTGCATGCAATTTAATGACTTTAATGCTATTTGCATACACATCAATCTGTAAAGTTTATTTAAAACTACTCCTGAACTTTAGGTGGGCATTCAATAAGTCTTCACGCACTTTAGGTTGCAGATCATGTCCTGAATTTTCAGTTTGGTTCACGATAACAATCTTATCTAAATTCCAACCATCATTATTAGTAATTAGATTAGTGCTTCAACAAAAATATTGTAATGCAATTGACAAAAACAATTAGCTTAATTATGTGCCGATGGGCGTGGGGTATGATGTACTTTGCGTTGTCTGTAATGAAGTTTGTGAGGGACTGCTACTTTCAGTCATCTAACAGCAACTTGCATTTATATAGCGCCCTTCACGTGGGATAGCAACCTGGAGTGCTTGACAGTGGTGGAGCCTGATGCCGAGCCAGGGGAAGAGTTTTTAAGCCAGTTGTTTTGCGTTCTGCAGATTGGTCTGACTTTTGCGATCGTCTTTGGCGTGATCCTGTACAGAATCTCCACCGCAGCCGCCATGGCTGTCAGTTCGGACCCGTACACCAAAGATAATGTCCGGGTTATCGTCACAGCAACTGCAGTCATCATCAATCTGGTGGTCATTCTGATCCTCGATGAGGTCTATGGCTCCATTGCCAGGTGGCTGACACAAATCGGTGAGAACAGAAGTGACGCCGATTGCTTTGTTTGCCTACAGGAGATGTAATAATGCTTGGATCTTTAGCTAGGGCTGCTCCATGCTGGCTGGCAGCAGTGATCGTTTATTCCTTTGTACAATATTTAAAATATTCATTTATTTTCGCACCAATTAAAGATCAGGAGCGGGAGGTTTCCACCTTAATTTTCATACTTTTTTTTCATATTTTAAACAATAAATAAAACCTGCGACTAAGACTTGCATGTCGAAAGCATTATTTTTGTAAAAATTTAATTTTACAAGGAAGTCTCTTTGCCTCCAGTTTCTTCATCACAAACCAATTTGAGACTTTTTCCCCCCCAAAAAAATGTTCATCAAATAGTTTACGCTTCATATATAGCAGTCTGATTATGTAGCCATTCTTCATTAGATGTACAGTAACTTATAATAATAATCCTTGCATTTGATACAGCACTTTTCGTGTCTTCTCAACGTCTCAAAGCGCTTCACAGAATAGACTGTAAAGTGAATTGACTGTATATTTGTGGGCGAAACGCAGCAGCCAATTGCGCACAGCAGTGTCCCACAAACAGTCGTGGATTGAAATGACCAATTTATTATTTTTTTTGTTTTGGAGGGATTATTATCAGGTGTGCGGAGAAAGGAAACTTGCCCAAGGTTTCACCCTGCCTGGAATTGAACCCAGGTGTCTCGCTTACAAGGCGAGCGCTCTAACCACTGAGCTACAGGACTCCCGCTTGTATCTTTTAAAATTACATGTCTTTATGATTTTCATTTTCATTATTTTTAATAATGTAATATAAAACCATTCAGGCTCTGCTAAACTCTGTCGCCTCTTGCAATGCTATTTTCCCCTCACTTTTCCACATAACAATATGTTTGCTCTCTGTGATGGAACCTGCCAAAAATAAGTCTGGCAATTCCCCCTAAGGAGAGCAAGAGTGAGTCTGCTTCCCATGCTCTTCAAAAATATCAGACGCTGATAGAAACAGAAAACTCGCAATGATAATTTAAAATCAATCATTGGAAGGTTAGGAATGCAGGTAAACATCTTCTGGTATTGGATTTTGACACAGGATGTTAGTCATGATTTGATGGGTGGAATTCACTCAAACACTTCTCATGATGGATTATGTGACGTTTTTGAACAGCGGTTTTGACCCTGTGCTTTTCTACCACAGAGGTTCCCAAAACAGACAAAAGTTTTGAAGAAAGACTAATATTCAAGGCTTTCCTACTGAAATTCGTGAACGCCTACACACCAATCTTTTATGTTGCATTTTTTAAAGGCAGGTGAGTGATTTGGTAAAAATACGCCAAGCTGTGTTAGGAAAAAAAACAGCAAAATCTATCAGTAACGCAATGAATCATTTGAGTAGCACAGAATTGTAATGTCATGCATAATCTGATCAAGTTTGTCTTTATTGGCGGTCTCTCCCAAGATGGCCTGAGATTGACCTAGCTTTTTTTCAAAAAATTGTAACAAACAACTATTACAGTTAACCGCAATGTTAACTGCTTTAGATGCAATGTGAGAAGAACAAGGGGACAATGCTTAGTAACAAGAAGTGTCATTTTAAGGAATAGGTTAGCTTTTTAGACTCGAAGCGACGTCTTGGAGTTGATCTTATTAAGGATTATGCTATGCTTAGCAGAATAGAGTGTAAGCCTGGAACAATACTTTCAGATAAGACATGGCAGCTGGACAAGAGGTCATGGATTCTGGGTTTTGAAGAGCAAGTTTAGGATGGAACACAGGAAGCATTTCTTTACACAGATTGTAATCAACAGATGGAATGGGTTATTCGGAAGGGTGATCGAGACCAGAACACTGGACTCTCATGAAACAATTTCACAGTATAATGGGAAAACTGTATGTTTGGTATTGTGGAAGGATGAGATCAAATGGCCAAAGGACCNTTTTTTTCCAGTAGAGCTTCTCTTGTGATGTAGGCTCGAAATTTATAAAAACTGAGATTCCAACCACTGTTTTCATTCAGGTTCACAGGTCGACCAGGGAAATACATGTACATCTTTCGTTCCATGAGAATGGAAGAGGTAATGTGAATTTTTTAATATAGAAAAAAAATCAAATTGAAATTAGTCTTAATCATCCTTCTCGGAAAGAATCCTGTTGACTGTAATCTTATTTCTTGTTCAGTGTGCTCCTGGAGGCTGCCTGATGGAACTATGCATTCAACTGAGCATCATCATGTTGGGCAAGCAGCTGATTCAAAACAACCTGTTTGAAATAGGCATTCCGTAAGCATTTATCTACTATGTTGACATAGTTACATAGCGTAATACAGCATGTAAATGGTTCATTTAGCTCAACCAGTCCTTACCGGTGTTTATACTTCACATAATCCCCAAACCCTTCTACTCCCCTCACTTACACCCCCCTATTTATTATCTTCTCCCTCACGTTACACATCAAGTTTTCTCTTAACTGCATCGATGCCATTTGTTTCAACCAAGCTTCCAGCAGTGAGATAACCCAGGCTTTGACAACCCAATTAATAGTACAATACTGTAGGCTTGAAATGATATTTCCAGTCCACAAGTCCAAACTTTGTACAATATTCAACAGCTGTTTTATCCTTTTCATGCTTCCAATTTTATCGATGGTTTCTAAGTTCCATTATTTTTTCAATGATGTTTCATATTATCTCAGCGTATTAATATGGCACTAAGTGTGAACAAAATCTCTCCATTTTGTTCATTGCATTGCCCGGGTTTCGAATGTCGCTGCAGACTGGCTGGAGCCATGTCCTATTGATGTTCTGATGCAGGACTCGGAACTATTAATAATAATAATAATCCTTGCATTTATTAATGCATTTATTATTAAGCCATGACACTGATGTTTATTTAATATCCTGGCTCAGAAGTTTCTTTACATAGACCTGCCTTTTCCTCTCATCCAAAACATCTGACCAAGGCAACAACAATGGTTCTGTTAATTCCATATTTGCTGAGGATCTCGGAGCACTTGAATGTCAGTGCTTATAAATCCATTCAGATCCTGACTGATATTTCTTTCACAAGGGTCAGATGTGACCAAGAACTCCAGAACCTCTGTTTGATTGTGTGGTCCTTGAGAGAGCTACGATTGCTTTTTAGGGTAATTTTGTCTTCAATAGTGGGTTTTCTGTCAGCATTTAGGAATGCTATTGGCTTAAAAGCTTACAGGGCTAAGTGGTGCCAGGACGCCAACTAAATCCCTTACTGGGTGAGGCAATTCTTGTGTTTTACAATCTCCACAGTCTCCGCATTCTGTGCCGATCTCGACTCAAAGGCAACCACCAATCTGGGCTTCGCTTCACACTATCTACAAGGCAAGGACGTGGAGTAATAGAGTTTTTTTTTTAATGAAACTGTCAGGTCATTTCAGCAATTTCAAGAAGATGAATGTCACCCAAAAAAAAGAAAAATCCCATTTCTATTTTCTCCACCTTTGAGTTCTCTATCAGTCTGGCAAAGTTGTGTGCCAAGTGGGTGAATGAAGGGGGATGAATATTAAATCAGCTACTCTAAATTTGGTCATCTTCTGTCATGAAATGTAGCTTAGCCTCCACAAACACAGAGCTCCCTCCCTACCTGCCCTTTGGTTCGCTATCTGACCTGGCAAAAACTTGAAACTTCCTTTGTTTATGTGTTTAACTTCTTTGTATCAGATTGATCTTTGTTGTTCCTTTCAAATGGACTGAGGAATGCTCCCACATGAGGCCTATATACACAGTGGGATGGAGGGTGGCCATAATCGCTTAAGGCCACTGTGCTCTGCCAGACTGTTAAAGAGAAACCATCCCAGTGACTTTCTTTCCTGTTGATTGCTGTATATTCAATTGAATGTGAACAATACATAATGAATGAAGTGGAGTCAGGAATCTGTTGAGTTGTTTAATTGTTCATGTTTCTAAATTGGAGCCTGATGGTGAATCTCTCTTTAGTGTGTTGTACTTGGATAGAACAGCTGTGTTTTGATTAATTTCAGCTCATCATAGACATAACTTGCAAAATACACTTGCTACACTTTACAGTATATCCTGTGAAGCACTTTGAGACATCCTCCTAACATGAAAACTGCTGTATCAAATACTATTGACGATTGGAGTATTATTATAAAAGTACACCATCTTTTTGGATAGTGTCATGGGATCTTTAACATTGGTCTAAACAGGCAGATGGGACCTCAGTTTTAACGCTTCATCTGAAGGTCGGCACCTCCAACAATGCAACACACCCCAGCTTTGGAGTGGAGGGTCAGCTTAGACTATGTGATTCCAAGTCCTAACATGGGGCTTGAAACCACAACCTTTTTACTTGAGCCAGCCTGACACAGATTGTCCTGAGATTGCATTTCATCCATGATTCTGTTTGGCTCCAGTCCATTTAGTTGGCCAGTGTTGCTTCTGTAAATGGCTTTTAGTTTCCTTATCTGCATTACCTTGATAAATTGATTATCTATTCATTCTTCACTTATTCTAAATTCATTCACTCTTATTCATGTATCGCACAGTAAGCTGGCACGTCAACTACATTGTTTTAAAATCTGAACATATTAATGGCTGTTGCACTTGACTTATATCCCCAAACACTAAAAGGATATTGGATGGGTCATTAGGGCTCCAGTACATTAATCTGTTGAGCCAGAAAATATGTTTCCTTCACTTACTTACTGCTATCTCAAAGGCAGTTTATCTTGTAGTCTCCACTGATTTCACTGTTGAGATACGAGTTGTGTACAGACATATCTTTGGCTGACAGCTGCTCTCTTTAACATTTAATATTAAAATAAAAAATTAAGACTGAAATACTCAGTTCTCAAAATGTAGTCTTCCTCGGTTTGTGTTGCATATTTTAATTGCAAACTCAATACGTTCTCAAACTATAGGGCTGCCACATCAGACCAAATCCCTCTGTCAAGGATACAGCAGCACTCCATTTTCAATGCCACATTTAAGTCAGTCTAAGAGGATCATCAATTTCCCCCTCCTTCCCTGTGAGGACATGTCCACTTTGGTCCAATGCCAGCTGTGATCACGAAACCTACATCAGGAGCTTGTTCTGTGGGATCTTACCAGATATGAACTTGTATTCTACCTCAGTTTGGGTCAGTGACGATCACGGTATCAAAAGAGCATCTGCTTTCAAATTGATACATAAATGACCCACAATTGTATGTCTTCCAGAAAGCTGAAGAAGTTAATAAGATATCTGAAATTAAAAAGAGAGGTCAAATTGGAGCCGGATAGCAACTATAAGAAGCCCCAACAATACGAAGCCGACTACAACTTGGAGCCATTTGCTGGTTTAACTCCAGAATACATGGAAATGAGTGAGTAACTTTCCAAGCAGTAAATTGTATGACCTTCAATCTGCCAGTGGATTTTTTGGACGACTGCAATAAAAGGAAGAATGACCAAGAACGAGTCTATTTCAGTGTTTATTTAATCTGCTTTTTTTTCCAGGTTCAACAACCCAAATAAATCTTTATGGAATGTCTTTTTTTTATGAAGTAGACTGTGACCTCTAGAAACTCAATTCACTGCTCTTGGCACTAAACATTTATTGTCGTTCTGGACCAGAGTATAATTTTAATGTCTTACCCTATTGCTTGTGTATGTTACACACAGATGTTCAATCAATCGAAGCAACCAAACCCAATTATTCAGTGGAGAAACTGGACATCACTGTAGTACAAACCATAAAATGAATTTGGAGAGAATTGTGATATTTTTGCCCCCAAAATTTACAGTCAATTCACTTTACAGTATGTTCTGTGAGATGTCTCAAAGATGTGATAAGGCGCTATATCAAATGCAAGTATTATTAAAATGCTAAATCTGAATCAATTTTGGCATCTTCATTAAGCTGGCTAAGGTGAAATTCCAGCAAAATTGAATAGGATAGGATGCCAGGAAGAATAATTGTAGAGCTCAGGAGCAGTATTTGGTCTGAATTATATGCCGTCGCTCTTCTTGCAAAACCCTTGTTGAAAATAAACAGATCTGAATATTTCGGGCCTGGTCGAAAGAGGAGAGGCTAACCTTGGAGATTGTTTAACCCAGTCAGTTGGAAACCATTTTAAAATAGTAAATGTTTTTGTGAGGAGGAATTTTGTACTTAAACAGACAGGTATATTTATCACAACCGAGCGCTTTGCTGGATTTGTTTAGCGGTGTGCAAAGTTTCTCAAAACCTGGATTACATTTGCCTGACTTGTTTTTCAGTGCGATGGGAGATTGCAAAACAGATGTTCTCTGATAAGTTTCTTCTAAAGCTTGTCTTAAGGGGTGCAGTTAAGATTAAGGATACAAGAGCCTATTCCTAACTGAGTAAATCTTAAATTTGGCAAGCCGAACAAGTCATATTTCAGATATGATTACTTTTGGTGGCTAGCACAGAATTATTGCACTGGAAAATATTTTGGTATTGGTCCCTTGAAGTTGACATCTTCATTAAATAACTACAAGAAGGGGGACTTGTGCCAAATATCTAGTCCACACTTAAAAAGCAAACTGTTTACTTTTAGTGCAAGGGAAATTGATTCCCATGACTTAATTTTTCAAAATTCCCTAGACGTTAATATCATGCTCTATTTCTGGTATATCCGTAATTATTTTAGGTTTTGTTTTTTAAAAAAAAAGGAAAAGTTTCGCAATAGGCAGATGGTTATTTGAGGGTATAATTCAGTGCCTGTGGAGCTGCTCTGGGGGTGATTTTGTTGGTATCACGCTGTTTTTTTTATGCAGTTCAAATGTTTCACCAGGACTAAAGTTCCTGTGAAGTTGGCCCTGATTACAATATTCTCTTCAGAATATTAGAACCAGCAATTGTCTCACAGCATCGTTAAGAGTGTGTGGCTTCCCAGTTTTATTTTTCCAGGCTCATACTTCACCCATTCACAATTCGTTTTTTCCCACAAACCGAAACATGGAACTTCCGACCCTCATCCATCTTTCTGACAGACCACAATCTCCAGAGTTCCAAGGCAGATATTTTTACATTTCTTTCAAATCTGAAGTGTTTTCTGCGAGCACCACTGCAGTGTTGATTCTGTGAGCTTGATCCAGCTGTTGTGTTGTAAATAGAGAAACAAAATAAAATGGGAGAGAGCATTTCGGGATATGAGAATCCTTATTTTCTAACCTCACATTCAACTGTCTTGTTCCCTGACCGGAGAGAAGCTCGGCTTTTCCTTTGAAGTCTGGTTATCGAGCGGGAGATATTCCTAGAAGAAGCTTTACTGTCCCCCAGTGGATAAGTTGACTTCCAGGAAACATCTACTAATAAGGCTTCAATGCCAAACAGAAGCATTGGTGTTTATTAAGGTTCCTGAGTCCACCACCACCTAAAATGTGAATTATTTTGAGAGTATTTAAGTTAAGTCACTGACACTTAGTGTTGCTTTTGCACTTCCACTGTTCCCTAGGAATACCTTTATTGGAAGCAAATGAAGTTTCTATTAAGCGCTCCAAGACTCCATCCTTATTAAGTGTAACTTGTCCATCTCCCTGTGGTGAATATTTTAAAACCCTACCTAAGCTCTCTCTGTATTTTTATGTACACATTAAGATTTTTTTAATGTTTGTGAGATGGTATGTTTTTGTATCAAGTATACACATCAAGAAGGTGGTGTGTTTATATTTACTGTAAACATCTAGAAATGCTGTTTTATATGTATTGTACATTTGAAGTAGTTCTCCACTTATTGGTAGATCTGTTGACCTTGGCAGACAAGCTTACATTAATCCCCAACGAGTAATATTTTACCACTAAATCAAATCCCCCCCCCCCCCCACATTAGTCATGAAAGAAAGGGGTAACAATCCTGCTTTCCCCCCCAAAAAAAATAATAGTTTGGTCACTCAATTCCATGACTGTTTGTGGGACACTGCTGTGCACAATTGGCTGCCGCTTTTCCCCACAAAATACAGTCACTACACTTTAGTCTGTGAAGCACTTTGAGACATCTCAACAACGACGCTGTATCAAAAGCAAATATTATTACTATTATTTTAAGTGTTGCAAGTGTTAATTGCTTAATTCTGTAATAAGTACTAATATGAAGCAATCCTTCAATTTTTTGAAGGAAAACGTGATGTAAAACATGGAAAGCATTTTCTTGCTCATGTTAAAAGGATTTTTTTTTTTTTCAGTTATCCAGTTTGGATTTGTGACCCTATTTGTTGCCTCCTTCCCACTGGCTCCCCTCTTTGCACTGCTAAACAATGTCATCGAGATTCGACTGGATGCTAAGAAATTTACCACTGAACTTCGAAGGCCGAATGCAGCAAAAGCAAAGGATATCGGTCAGTAAACATTAACACATCATATCTTTGAAACTTGATTTTCAGATGAAGTGTGTTCGATTTGACAATCGCAGATCTGTGGTCCGATCAGTGAGGGGGAAAAATGATATTTTTGATCTGATTAACTTATACTGCGTGTTGTTGGAATGTCCCCTCCTTCCTGTTACGCTGAAATGAAACATATTGCATTTTTTAGGGGGGAAAAAAAAGCTTCAAAGAATTGTGATTCATTTTAAACGTTGATCGTTTGTGTTTAAAAATACTGGTGCCATTAACGGAGACTTGTGCAATAACTGCAGTGTGGACGTAGCCAGGCAGTGTGAGTGAGATGAATAGATATACACAACTGGAAATGATACAGTCGCAGAAACGATCTTTGATTCGTGGCTATCATGGCTGTTGTTTTTCCGCTGTAAGACTCGATAACTCCTCATAGTCTGTTTCTCATCATGTTATCAACGCTCTCTTTAAGTGCTAACTTTCTAAAAGAAAAATTATAGACAAGGATATAAGGTGTCAGCCTGATCTCAGAAGGGAGTAGAATTGTGAGGATGGAACAATGTTGTGTTTGATGATTCGGGTTAGGGAGTACCTAAAGCAGAATACTCCCCAGGAACAGAGTGGAGCAGGGCTAGATTTTGAGTGATCGTGCCGGGCGTTTTCTGTTTCTCTGTTTTTTGCCTTGAGAATAAATGTGGCACAACCCAGCAACCGCAGGATATTTCAGAGCAGATACGATTCAAACTGGTTTTGAAGAACTTGACGGTATAGAACTGCCATCAGTCTAATACTTTGAAGAGGTGGTTTTTTTTCACCGTTGCAATGAGGAAATATTAAATGTAACAGCCATTTAAATGGCCTGAAAAAGAAAGTGGGACAAAGTGCTCTCATGGCGGTAGAGGTGCAGATCTCAACAAACCAGCTTCAAAGAAAGCAGAAAAGGGGAAACCTTCCAATCTGAAATGGAAGCAAAAAGCAAAAAACAGATCATTAATTGGCCTGAAGATTTATTGAGATCACGTGTGAAAGAAGAATCGCTGAGAACAATGGGGGGAGGGAGAGGAGTCAAAATTAAACCAGATGGGAAAAGAGGAGGAAAAATTAGTCATTTGCTAGAAACCAAAAGGTTCCCACAAGAAGATCCAATAATGAGGCTAGTCTCGAGAGATTTGCATCCCTTTGTCTTGTCTGTCTACGTGTCTATCTGTCTGTTTTTGTGGTTTGATTTCTGGTAAAATGGTGATGTGTGTGTTTCAGAATAGATTTCTTAGAAGAGTGGAAGAGCCATTTGGACAGCACTCTGTTGTCTGAAATTGTGTGTCGGTCAGAAAACGATGAGTTAACAGAATTTCTGTGTTCCAAATCTGAAGGAAGAAAGTAGCTTTAGATTTATGTCTCGTCTATAAATCCAGGAGCTAAACTAATTTGCAGATTTGATTTTGTGGTAAACATTGGTCATTAGATTTTCCAGCTCACATCTGCACCATATGTTGGTTATTCCAAAAATAGCCAATAAGTCAAGATTTGTCAACAGTACGTTAACTCTGTGTAAACCAGCCAACAGAATGCTTTTCTTTGTGCCCAGTTCTACTAATTGCTTGTGCTAGTGGAACGAATTCAGACCAGGAAACCACAATTCCAATGCCCATTCCATCTAACTCTCACCCAAAGCCCGAGTTCAAGGTTCATCTACAACAAATATATTTGCCAAGCTCTGCAGACCAGAACAGTAGTTTCAGGCTATTTTAAGGCTAATAAGTTTAAGCAATTAAAAAGTCACAAGCACTGATAACTCAAAACATTTTTATAAAACCTTTAAATATGAATTTCTGCATTTCATTTTTTTTAATGTTTAAAAGTTCCTGTTGGATTGAATAGAGCAAAACCAGAAGTAACTGCATATTGCAACAAGAAATTGTACACGTACACACAACAGAGATAATCATTGGCAGAGGGTAAGGAGCAATAGGGTTTAGTTGTGGTTGTTGATTATTTACGGAGGAACTCTTGTCAACGTGAAGCTGCTGCTGATGCTAATCAAGCATTAGGTCGTCTCTTAGATTATTTAATTTGTTATAAAGTGAAATGAGTTACTCTAATCTGTATTACTGATGATGATAATAATAGCATTTGATACAATGCCTTATCACTTCTTCAAGACATCTCAAAGCACTTCACAGAATAGACTGTAAAGTGAATTGGCTGTATTTTGTGGGCGAAACCACATTTTAAATATCTTGCACAGTTTTGAACACCTACCTCTGAAAGGCTAATGCTGTGGCCCTGAGCTCTGTTGTGTGGAAAGGCTGGCAGGGATGAAAGCTCCAGATCTTTAAAATGATGAGGCATTGATGGTGTACATGTTAGTCAGCCTATGTGACTTGGACCGTGGGAGCAGAACCAAAGGGCATAGGTTTAATGTTAAAAAGCCTCAAGAGAGACGGGATGTCTGAAGAACAGTCCCCCTCCCCCCTCCACTCCATAGAGCATATGTGGAATATATTCCCAACAAAATACATGGAAGCTAAATTGATACAAAAGAACAGGGTATGTATATGGCTTGGGAACCAGACATCAGGAATAGGTGCAGACTCCAATGTAAACTACGGGGGTGTGGGGAAAGGGCAGGAGAATGGGACTGAAAGGTTTGCCCTTGAAGGAGCCAGCACAGACACGATGGGCTGAATGGCTGCCTTCTGTGCTGTCAACTTCTATGGTTCAAAATGATGAGAGGCGGTGGGGGCTGGAGGTAGGGAACTTCCATGGTGTATAGTTCTGTGCTGTTGAGGTTGCTGGGGTTGGAGAGGTGATGGCAGTGTTGTTTGTGGAAGGAAATGAGAAGAAATAAACTAGATCTGAAAGTAGAGAGACAACATTCTGAATTTGGTGCTTGATTCCTTTTTAAAGGGAGAATTGAGGAACATTTATATAGAACATTTGCTTTGCTTTCCCCCAGGGGAACATCGGGTGAGGGCAAGGCATGCAGTCGTCTGTCCCGTAAATCCCTTTCTCAGTGGCTTATAATCAACTTCTAAATTAATAAATATTTTAACTATTCAATCTGGGGTTGTATTTTAGGCATTTGTTAGTCAACATTTGGGAAACTGGAACAAGGCAGACAATGATAATAATCATCATAATAATCATAATTCTTGCATTTGGTGTCATGCCTTTTGTCAGGATGACATCTCTTCAAAGGATATACTATGAAGTGTAGTGGACGAATATGCAAAATGAAGTAACCTTTTGTCTCTTGCATTTAGGTATCTGGTACAACATTCTCCGAGGGATTGGAAAGCTGGCAGTCATCATAAATGTAAGTGTGTGATATGTGTTTAATAGGAAAATGTCCCCCAGTTTTACAATCTTTTTCCATCTCATTGTTTACTGTATAAACCAGGAAATAATTTGCTCTAAAATATTTTTCATCAAAGCGTTGTTGCCTCTAGTGAGCATCATAATAAATGAAACCGTTTCGAGGAAGGCAATGGCAGCAAATCTGAAATGAAAATTAGTTCAGTTGAATAAATTTGGTAATCATTTTCACTTTTTTTAAAAAAAAATAGGGATCTGTGAATGAAGTTAATGAGGATATTCCACCTGTATTTAGGCTGAGGAGAGGATTCAACCTTTGAACATTTAGTACCGTTTTCAGAGTAAGAATTTCTTAGTTCATTGTTGCAGAACAATCTCTTAATGAGATATGTCACTTTGCATACAAATCCAGATTTGTGCTCCAGTTGAATGAGTGCAGTCTTTCTGTTGACCACTTTATTGGTTAGTTTTGCTGTTTGAATGGGTTGTTTGCTGGCTTGTGCAATGGCACAAGGTTGGAGTTATTGGCAGTAGCTGCAAATGTATTGGACATCTCAGCTCCTGCTCAGTAAACCAGTTGATGAAAATGTTGCTGTATTTGCCTAGAATTTAAGCAAAAAAATAATAATTTAAACCAATAAAAACTCCATTAGTTTCTAAACTGACAGATTTAGGATTTGGTAGGCAATGTTGATAGATATTCTGGTTTTGTGTCCAGACAATTCCAAGAATTTATCGATTATATTTATTTTTCTTGGTGGGCGGGAGCTTTAAGCTTCTCAGAGACCCTCCTTCCTCTCTGCCGCCTTTTCCTCCCCTTTCTGATCTGCGTGGGACATGCTCGTGTATATGACTGCCTATCAGGTCTGCCATCGATATCACCCTTGAGACACCTGCTGGGCGTCAGGTGAGGGAGAGTGACCTAATGAGTCTTATGATAACTCACGACAACCAGGCAGCTGGGATTGAAAACGCAACAGGATTTGAAACACGACAATGGAAAATCACACTGTGTGTTGCTGCTCCAAAACATTGCCCCCATCACATCGCATGGCCCAAGTCTTTGAAACGCAGATTCAGTCATCGCAACACTAAGCGGTTGCAAATGAGCTGAAGCATGAATTCATATTCAATTCTATCAACAAATTTCCTTGAAGTTATGCATCGCCATTGATATATTGTGCAACTACATCTAAAATATCAAGCCAGCCTGTTGATAGAAATTTGGCAATACATACATAGCTGGTGGGGGAAATTGTGAAGTCAGTGTAACGGATTTCTACTGCCTCAAAGGTAATGGGGTGATTTGCATGATTCGTTTGGTAGACTTTACACATTCAACATAATTTTACACAATAAATAAATACTTTTGGTATAAATAATTAGAGTGAGTGAGAGAGAGTGTGTGTGTGTGTGTAAATAAAACCAAGAATGATGATGCATTTTTTAAAATAGATTTATAAACTGAACCTTCCTTTTGCATCATTACAATACAACTTTGGTTTGGATCTGAACAGTTTCAGAGGCCATTTATTTTAACTCTAGTTAGGAATTATAGTGAGATGAATGAAACACAGCTCTTGCAAGTGCGCACTGGGAAAATGTGAGTACTACAGCTACATTGTGCCTTTGCGGTATATAGAAATGGGGCTTAAGAAGAGCATTAAAAGTGCAGCACGTTGAGGTTTCCACTTCCACTGTGAAGCGATAGGATGTTCTGAGCTTGTGCCAATGATTCAGAGTTCATTACCTGAACTGTGCCACTGTGGAGAGGTGCCAGGAAGGGAATTCTAATTGAGGGCAGACCATATCTGCCAACTGCTTATGGGAGTCTGTGCTATGCTCCCAAGTGAAGGAGATACTTTGTCTGGCACTTTCTTTGGCAGGAAAAGTAGCGGGAGCTCTTGATACAATGATGGTCTTACATACAATTCTTGTTTAATCTTTCAGCAGGAGGTTGCTAGTTGTGTAAACTTTGGTTGACTTTGAACTTGGTTGATTTTATTGTAAAATTCCTACCGTGTACTGCACTTGAAACGTCTGGTGAAATGTTCCAAGGAAATTGGCTTAATGCAGCAGAACCATTTTTTTTTCCTAAATCAAACTTCTATTGGGAATGGAACAAAGACTGTTTTTTGACCTTTTATTCTCCTTCGGGAAAAACTCCAGATCTTTGAACATTGTTAGTTCCTCCTTTGCCTTGACATCTTGCTATCTGACTTCTCACCAAAATAGTCTTTCAGATCAGCAGCCAAGTGCAGGCAGTCCCAGCTCAAAATACTTAAATATTCGTAGGACAGTGAAAGGCGTAGCCAAGGGTTTGAGTAAGAAGAATGAGAGTAATTAAAATGTTAAGTGGCAATGAGATGACAAAATAAAGCTTCCTCAGTTTCTCTTCCTCCTTTCTTTCCTTCTCTCCACCCTCTCCCACGAATCAGACACTTAAAAATCTGTCATGCAGTAGAATATAATAATAATCCTTGCATTTGATATAGCACATTATCACGTCATTGAAACATCTCAAAACGATTCACAGAATGTACTGTAAAGTGAACTGATTACATTTTGTGGCCAAATTGCGGCAGCCAATTGTGCATACAAGTGTTCCACAAACACTCGTGGATTGAGTGACCAAATTATTTTTTTGGTGAAGGGATTTTTACCCCCGAGAAAGCAAACAGCCAATCGACTAATAACTGGGTTTCTACTTACTGCTAGGTAAACAGAGGCTTGTGGAGTAAGGAAACTTGTCTTAGTTGTTCTGTTTGTTTGTTTTGAATAGTTTGTGTTCCTGACCTCTGTTTAGGTGTCTCTTGCCACATGTACCATTTCCAATTAGCTCCTTTGCCTCAGATGTTGCTGTGCTTCGACAAACTGCTATAAATTCCTGGTGTGAAAGCGTCTCTCTTCCTGCAAAAGTTACCCTGAGACCACTTGACTGAGATCAGGAGTTCAGTGTATGTGGTTTTCAGGATGCAAGTCCAAACGGTACCCCTCCACAGCCCCATTCATGCACTTGCTGCAATTTGCTTCTAATCCTTTCAGAAAAAAATAAGATTGCATACCTTCGAGATGTATATTTATTGTAATATTAAAATATTCAAGCTTAATCTGTGTTTAGTTAAAATCATGGTCACTTTGCTCTTGGATCCCACAGAACTATGATAGCAACAGATAAGAAATAACTAAACAATGTTAAGCCATCAGGAGTCCAAATAAGGAAAAAAATTAAGCTACAGGAGTTAGCTGACTTAAGCTTCACACTGTCCAAGCTCGCAGTCTGTCCTGGGGAAAGCTGAGCGGTCAGGCTGAGAGGTGTGGGTGTGTTTTCTGCTGACGTGTTGGGTGAGCCAAGAGCGAGAAGAAATATGGGCAGAGTGAGAACCCAAAGCAGGACGCAACAAGTTCAGTGATAGGTTTGAAAACACACCCAGCAAAGAGACCCCATTCAGCTAGTCTGGAGAATTAAGAAATGTGAAAAACTTCCAAATAATCTAGAGCATCGTGTGAAAGAGTTTCGAGGAGAACGTAGGCAAGAGGAAGAGAAACTAAAAGTTAATTCGAGTTTCGCGATGATGTGGTTTTGAAAAGAGGATAGGTGTGATCTTTATAGTTGACTTTGCAGGGTCTTTGCTAAAGATTTAATAAGCAGTAGTTTTATGTTGGTCCAGACAGGTACCTTCTTGGCCACTGACAGCTGGGCACATCTGTAAAACATTGGCCGTGTGGGCTGGATACGGGTGAAAGAATTTAGTGATTTGCCCTTTCATTTCATTGACAAAATTCGTAACTCGAGACATTCACCGGGTGACTAGGGATAACAATCTGGAGGAAAAATGGTCAGATAACTCAAACAACACAATCAGCCTCTGTTTTTCTCACAGTCGAATAGTTTTGATTTTACAAAATATTTTGAAAGGTTTATGAAAGCAGGTGCAGCCAGTTGTTTAGAAGCAGCCCAGTCATCTGTTAATTGGGACAACAGCTGGAGAGAATAATGATCTGCAATCTTTAACCTAGTTAACTAGCCTGTGTTATTCATTGCAAAGATGGATTAAGCCTCTTCATCTTCAAGAGGCAAAGTAGCAGCAAAATAGAGTCAATCAGCAGCAGGAGGAACTGGATGGGACGGGGAATACAACTGTACGGGAGAACATTAAACTCGATTTACCACAAGCACAGAGCGGACAATTTGCCATAAGCGGTGGATAATTTTGGTTCCCTCCTTAAAAAATGATAGACTTCCAGGTCATGGCATTGCAGCACACGGGCAGTGAATGTCGGCAACAGTCCAGAAGTTGACTATTTTTAGTGAGGAAACAGGCCTTCTGTTTGTTTATACAGTGATGAAACTGGCTGTCGCAGGCTCATTGTGAAACAGGTTGGGATTTAATAAACCCCGACCACCATGTTTTAACGTGGCTCCACTATAGTTGCAAAGATGCTGAGTTTGGCTGCTGTAAAAGCCGCATAAAACAGTATAAACGGGTAATATTCAGGGCAGTGGGACTGGGAGTTGAGACGGGAAGCAATTCACCAAGATGGTTTCTGGATCAAAAAAAATGCTAAAAAATTATCATAGCACTTTCAAATATTTATAAATCACTGTTTGATGTGTTCGTATATAATGTTGTCAAATAGTCACCTGTTGCTGCAATTATTACCCATCAGATTGTGTTTCATAGTCCAATTGCTTTTGTTCTCTAACTTAAAAGCTCAATAATAGATCTGTAAAAATATTTAATATAGACAGAATGTAAGTTGCTGGCACAGTGTTTATTCTCAAAGCCATTACTTGGATGTCTCGAGTGATCACAATTCAGATGTCAAAGCATAAAAATGTAATGCATCAAATATTTACTCTGTTCTCAATATGGTGTGGTCAATTAAGGTTGATCTTGAAAACTAAGTGTACAAGGTGCCTGGTATTGAGCTGCTGTGTCCAGGACTATAGACAGAAGATGTGGGTCTGTAAAAACCTACCTACAGTGTAGCGGTGTGGAGGGAAACTTGCACAAAGTTAATGAAAATATCTTATGAGAAGCAAGTCCTCAGGAGCAAAGCTCAAAACACACATGTGCTATAGGCTACAAGCCCTCATAAGATTTGTGGGCAAAGCTTTTTAACCCTGAAACGATGCTTTGACAATTTAACAAGCAAAAAAAAAAAATAAAGGCTAAAGAAATCCTTTAAGCTAAACAAAAGAATTGAAGAGATCGCGGATCGACTTGAGCTCATCAGCTTTGAACCGAGAGAAGTTGTACAGCTGATTAAATGCAATTCTGCAATTGGCTGGTAACACAGATGGTGCGGATTCTAGACTTTGTCAGTCAGACCAGCATGAAAGGTGATCCGAGCCTTTGCTCAAATGTCAGATGAGTCATTGGTTCTCAGCTAAAATGACACACAAAACCTAACAGCTAAATAGAGGCCCTAAATTCTGCTTGTGAGATATATACAAACCCAGCCACAGTACACCATATGTTTCTGGATCTAGAGCATGGAATCTGTAAGCTGTTTCTATAAAAACAAAATCTGCTTTTGAATTGGTTTATTCTGATGTTTTTGGACGCGTTATGGAATGTAAGTTATTCACACAATGTATCTAGTTCTATTTGTAGATACGACGCTCAATCCAAAATCCACGACTCGGGTTGGCTCTAATCTCGTTGGGCGCGGTATTTTTAAAAAAATTATAAACATTTAAGCTTCCGTGAGCTTTCCAATTAGATTGATAATTGCTGCATTGTTTTTACCTTTGCATTTTTTAACCTTGAAGTCCTTAATAACAACAAGATTACATTTGTATAGCGCCTTCCATATCTGGAGGACGTCCCAAGGTGCTGATAATAGGCAATTAAGTCCATACAATTTAACTGTGTGTAACAGTTAAGAATGCATTTTTGAGCCTTCCACTGCTAAAATTAATGTAAAGTACATATTCTATATTGTTGTTCTACTACAGCACAAGATCTTTGATTAAACTGCTTGTATTTAAATCCAGCATAGGCTAACGGCTCAAAGCCTCCAGTTCCTGCTGAGCACAGAAATGGTCATAATTTGGCATTAATTGGCAGTGGGGACACAGGTTGGCTGGTGTGGGAAATGGGAATAACACACTAATGCTCTTCTGAGGCTCACTGTTGAGCCAGCATAGAAATAACAGGGAATTTTGTTTTTTTTCCCTTCACATAAGCCATGCTACAGCTGATCTGAAATTTCTTGTTAAGTTAATCCTGGTTACCAATGTAATGTTTGACCACAAGAAGTCCAGTTATAAATATCCGATCAAGAGCTGTATTGGGCAGCAGGAAGTTGCAGTGCTGACTCCACATCATGTTCTAAGTAGAGCAGAATTGTGTACGTGTGTTCTTATGATCATGCACAGAGATGTATTAACTGATGTCCAAACACCAATTAACAGTTTTAGCATTGAAGAGCCAGCAGGACTGTCAAAGATCCATTTACATTTTTACTATAATAAAAAGCTAATTTATGCTGCAGTCAATTCCACTAAAATGGAAATGCTTTGTAAGGGATTTTCTGTTAAGTGCACAGATACTGGCTAACCTTGGTAATGATTTTTCTTTTAAAAAATAAATGAAGAATGCGGATGTGTGAGGTTACACATATGGCCAGGTATTTAGTTTAATTTATATGCTTTTTTTTGCTGTCTGCTTTATGAAATTGCAGTAAATTAAAAGCAATAAGACAAAATGGTTTGCATTTCAACTTTGAAAACCGTTTGCTTCCAGTTAAACTAGAACTTAATAAGTGAATACAAGTTATGAAAGTTACAAGAACAAGTTATAAAAGTTATATCAACTGCTCTTCAATCATTTGGAATGGACAGTCAGATCAGCTAGAGCACTAACATTTCAATTAGTTTTTGCAGGATAGTAAGTGAAGTAATTTGAACTGGTTAAAATAAGAATAAGAATAAAATAGGGATATGTAGCAATGAATATTTAATCGCTGTATTGTACACGGTAGACTTCCCAGTGTCTTCTTCTGATGTAATAAATCACTGAGTTAACTTAAACATGCCACCCATTTTTAGGTGTCTTATTTAATATGATACATGCCACAAATGCAGCTTCGTGTGATTCAACAGGAAACTAGTTCCAGTCAAAGTTAGGGGCTTACCAGCGCTTGGAATTTTTGATGATGATGATGGAGAGATTACATGGTCAAGTTATTAGGCTGACTCTATATTGCCACTCCCCTCGTCAACAGGAAGTGTGGTGACTGTAAAGTGGCTGGATTTAGATGGGATGCTAAGAATAGTATTCAAAAATAATATTCAGATGGGGGAGATCACAAAACTGTTGTGCTCCAGAATCTGATTATATTTACTGTTCATTTGCTTGTGTAGATCAATCGAGTTTTAAAGAAATAAATGGGATTGCATTTTTATAATGTCTTATGTTGTAACATTTCAAAGCACTTCAGAAGTAATGACTGTCAAATTTAGTAAATGATTTTTTAGGCAAACACATCACCCTTTTTACATTAGAGTTATTCATGAAGGTTTTTAGGAAGCCCTTTGAGATCCTCCCGATGTGGGAGACTTGCTGTATAAATGTAAATTGTATTGTGGTACACTATGGAAAATTTTGATATGTGTCTTGTGAATTCAGCAGATTTTTTTTGATCAACTTCCCATTCTTTTAGTTTTCATTTGTCTTTTGTTTGGTCACAAATCCCAAAGCATCAGAGTTCAATTGTACATTTTCATTGTCCAGGCATTTGTGATCTCTTTCACTTCCGACTTCATTCCACGCCTTGTGTTCATGTACTTGTACAGTCCAGATGGCACTCTGCATGGGTTCACCAATAATACACTGTCCTACTTCAACGTCAGCCACTTCGAAGCTGGATCAGAGCCACGTGAAGCCATGGCACTTGGATACAAGGTTGAGATATGCAGGTAGAAAATCGCTCTTTACTTTAACTTTTTCAGAGACAGACATTCTTTTGTGATCTGCTTCATGTCTAGCAATCGGCATCTCAATTTCGTATTGCTATATGATCATAAGACAAATGTAAGTACAATGTGGAAGGGCATTGTAATGTAAGGAAAATGCTTATGAATTCTTACTTGGAGATTAACACAAATTAGCATTTGTTTATTTTTAAAAAAATTGATTTTGTGGTGAAAGCACTACTCTGCACTAATGTCCATTTTCTTGCATTCTGCTCGATATTTCATTGACACATTGGGAATTAAATATTTCAAGGGATTAAAATTGATCTTTTGTTGGATTCCAACATAAAAGAACATTTTATTTTTGCCTTTTGAGGGTGGGGGGTAAAAACTAATTTTAAGGCTTCCTAGAGGATAAATGTTATACAGACGAGAATGATGCAGATTTGAATCCGTGTGGAGGTAGCTCATGTCAGCTGGATGGCTGTAAAAGCATGACAATTAGCCACAAATGCACTGGACTTGGACATGGTAAACACTTGTACAGACTTGTCAGAGATGCGCTCCACAGTGCAATAGCTTGTTCCTCACTGTGTATGATCATCCATGAAGCATTGACCACTGGTATCTGATATTTATAACCTTATTTTCTCAGGTATAAAGATTACAGAGAACCTCCATGGTCTCCTGAAGCATATGATGTTTCAAAGGAATTCTGGTCTGTTTTAGCAGCTAGGCTGGCTTTTGTCATCATCTTCCAGGTTAGTGGCTTGATGCACTGATCAATTGTTACTGTATCATCAACACTGCTAGTATTGGCTAACCTTCACATTGTATTAAAATACTTTAATAATAATAATCTCTGCATTTGATATAGCGCCTTATTACATCGTGAGATGTCTCAAAGCGCTCACAGAATATACCGTAAAGTGAATTGACTGTCTATTTTGTGGGCAAAACATTAAATTGAAATGGTACTTTAAATAGATTTTTTTTTAACTGTTAACCATTTAATGATGGAAAATACCTGATCTTTTTGAAGAGATGCATGAGATCATTTTCTGCAAGCTTGGCTGATTTAACTGGGGAAAATAATCTCACATATCACACGCATCAAACTGCTGCAAGACATTGTCTTGTGTTCCCAAAAGTGTTAATTATCTCAGATGACGCTATGTGAAAAGTTAATGCAGAGGAACTGTTCGCTAATTAGTGTTGGCAATTTTCTTTGAGAGAGAAGAGTCTCGTTCTGTAAATATCAGAGGGAAAAAATGTACTGTACCTTAAAACATTAATTTAATTAGTAGCTTTCAAAAGGGAATTGTATAGTTATTTGAAAAGAAAAAACTTGCAGGACTATGGGGTAAAAACGAGGGAGTGGGACTAGTTGGATAGTCTTTCAAAGAGCCGGCACAGGTACAATGGGATGAAAGGTCTCTTTCTGTGCTGTAGGATTCTATGATAATTCACAATTCTTTTGGCCTCTATTTCTGAAATAAGTGCTGCCTCGTCACGCCTGCCACTTCAGTAATCACCCTCCTCGTTTATCTTACAGAACCTAGTTATGTTTATGAGTGACTTTGTGGACTGGTTGATACCAGACATTCCAAAGGAAATCAGTGAACGCATCTCTAAAGAAAAGTTATTGATGGTGGATCTTTTCCTGAAAGAAGAGCAGACCAAACAGCAAATAGTAGAAGCACTTTCTTCACAAGAAAAAGAGAGGACAGTAGAAAACTCAGACGAAGAGAGCCCCAAAGAAGACATGTCCGACCTACCAGAAAACTACACGAAGAGCACAGATTCTTCCAACTCACACCACGTAAACGCTGAGAAACAGCCAGTTTAGAACTGATCTTTTAAAGTCACACAGGGTTTCTTTTTTTGGGGCATTCCACAATATGGCAAGGAGTCACTTAAAGGAACAGCAATACCATTACTTGTATTAATAGCACCTTTGGTGTATGGCTTGGGTTTGCTGTTCATACTGCCATTTTGAAAAATCTTGATGCAAGAAACACTTTCCTCACAAATAAGCCGGACCATGAATTTGATTGTAAAAATTTGTATTTTTACACTGAGTGAAATACAGGGAAAGTTATTGTTTTGTATTCCAGGAATGTTATTTCAGATATTTTCCATATCCTAAATAACAGTACAAGCAAATTTAATCATTAACTTTGAAGAGTTGCATAGTAATGCTGCCAACGGTTTTCTTTCAGCTATATTTCTTTTGCCAAAAATGTAATATGCTTTTATATTATAAATATTTATGGTTAATTAGTAATCATCTGAGTCTACTCTTGTTTCTTAGCCATTTAGGTCAATTCTGATTTATTTTCTACACTGGGTAGTCTTCAGCTGAGTCAGAATGGCACGACAGAGCAAGTATCCCATTGATTTAAAACTAAAAGTGATTTTATATTTCACCACAAAACTGCACATGTTTTGGAATATAGAATGTTTGGGAAATTTGGTTTGAAGGGAAGTGAATCTGGTGAAAGTATAGCATTTATCATAATTTAGTTACATAGATAATGTGAGGCAATAATCCAAGGAATGTATGATACTTGCCTATTTGATTTGCTCTTCCAAACTGATGCCTTTTAAAGCACGCAAATTAATTACAAAGTCTGGAAATACTTTCTATAGCAACAGTGCACTCTGATCCCAAGTACTGAGCATAAAACGGCTGCCTGATGGTTTTGATACTCGCCAATGGCATAGTGTGTGCCAGGTGATTTTACAAACTTATTTTGGACTGTAATAAAAAGTGCCCAGATCAACCAGAAGGTGAATTCACTAACCATCAGTAGATATTCTGAAAATTAAACATAATATATCATAATAATCGATCCATGCATTTTACTTAGCACCTATAACATCAAAATATCTCGACGTGATTCCCAGGTAATTGCTCCCAAGTGTAGTGACTGTATCTTTAGGCAAATTAGCACAACAACCTATTTGAAATGAAGACCAAACTGCATCCAAAGAAGTTTTTCAATGCACAGCTTTTCTTTGCTGAACCACAAGAACGAGAGGGGACAAATTTTACCTGGGTCTAAATTAACCACAAAAAAACGGTTTCAAAGTTAACTCAATCTGAACAATTTGCCAATTTCTAGACGCCCTAAAATGCTAAGAAATGGAGCAATTCCAATACAATTTCACACCCCCGCCCCACCCCACCCCACACCCACTCCACCTCTTGTAAAGCATTGCATAATCCCTTCAAACATTAATTTATTGTCTGTTTCCATTCCAACATATAGCCTGCCTCTTCAAACTTTTGCCAGAATAAAATACTAGCTGTAAATTTTCTTTCTCAAGAGGATCTAATGATGACTAATCAGATGGGAAGTCATAACTCTATTTGTTTATGCTCTTGTTTTAATTTTGTATAAAAAGATTGTAGTATCATTTGAAGTTGGTTGTATTGACAAAGCTGCTGAAATCCAGAATTCTTAAAAATCTAATGTTGTAGCAGCACAAGGTGATTTTTTTCAGAGTTTTTACAAACACAATTACTGATTAAATGAATAATTAATGCTTCTCCAATGGCTCGGTGAGTTTAACCAGTGAGTAGTTGAACTGTACTGACGAGGAAGGACCCAGATCTGTGCTGAGTTAATTGATCTATCAGGGAGGCAGGCTGTGGAAATCTACAATACAATGCATTTACAAGGAATTTCACAACTGAAATCATCGCCCTAGGCTAGGGAAAGAGGGGGAAAAAATCAGCCAGGGTTCCTGTTCCCTGATTACCATTCATTGACCCCCACTAGGGTGCACATATGTGTGAGGATAAGTCTCAGCTATCATGTCCTCGTGTGAATCAAATTGCTTTCTGCCACTCACTGTCCAGGCTAGCACATGATTAATGGTCACTTGAGCTGGATGCTGCAGGGTGTGAGTGGGACCAGTGGTAGGAAAAAGGAGTCAAAATACCTTCGATCGGAGAGGAGAGGTGAGACAATTTGGTGAGTTTTTTTAAAAAAAAATTATTAATCGATATCAATATTAAATTAGAAACATTTAAGCAATAAGTATCTGAGTATATGAACTCCGTGTTTTCCACTTTCCTTTGGTTCTAATCCATTTACAATGAGAGTTTTAGGGTAAAAACACCACTTTACCTAGAAATAGTCAGTGTGTCTATGTGCAGTGGAGAATTGCCATCCATAACGTGTCACTCAGGGAGGGGGCCTTTCACCTCCAGGAGGGGAAAGTCTACCTGGGTCTAGATTTATTCCATTTTCTTACCATTTCAGAGCAACCAGAATAGACGTTTAGTCTTAATTTTGAAGCCAGTGTTCTGTAAAGAAAAACAGAAAATTGACTTGAAAATTGACATTATTTAAGAATTTGCCACGTTCTGCACAGTCTAGAATACAATATGTATATAAGTTGTGTGCATGTGTGTACATATATTTGTGCCTTCACGTCGGGAACATGTCTCGAAATGCTAAGAATAAAAGAATAAATCTGGACCCAAGTGGAATTTCTCCCTAATTCATTATAATTAGTTGCTTTATGTATTACACAAATCTCTCAGTTCTTGGCTCATGGTCTGTGTATAATGAAAAGAATATATTTTAACAAATTGTAAATGTCTTTTGAATTTTTAACAAATTCACATTTAATTTCTTCCTTTTGGCCATTTTGCCTGTTCCATTCACTGAGATTTTCTAATCTACTTGTAGGTTATTTTGCGTCTTTTTCCTTCATTTCCATTTTGTTTTCTTGTAAAATGGCTGCTTTTCCCCTTCATGATTAACTTCTGTACCTATATATATATATACACACTAAAAAAAAAAATGCGTAACATAACACGTAGGAGCAGGAGTAGGCCATTCGGCCCTTCGAGCCTGCCCCGCCATTCAATCATGGCTGATCTTCTAATCTAATTCCAGCTAATAACCTGACCCTGCCTTAACCCCATATCCCTTAATCCCTTAATCCCTTTTGCAATGCTGGATGAAAATCTGCCAAATGTACTTCAAAAGCAGTCTAGGTTGAGATATGTCTGGAGGCAAATGTTTTCCGTAATTTGGCTCATCCATCACCTGAAATCATTTTTATTCGGTTAAAGAAAACTCTGCTGTGAAAGATATTTATTCTGTAAAGAAAAGGAAGGAAACAAATCGGAAAGAGCCTGAAAGTAGACAGAAATGGTTGAGGCAATGTGAATGACCTGGAAGCCAAATTATAATGTGGGTATTTTCAACGCATTTCCAATAGTTATGAAAAATGTAGTCATTTTGTGTAATTTTACTGTGCGAGTTAAAATTATAGAGCACTTCCTTATAGGTAGTATAGTATAATTTCAAAATCTTGAAACTGGTGCTAGTCATTTTCTGTAGATAAATTCATAAACTACTCTGACAAGTCGAATCTGTTGGATTTAAGAATTATAGCTGGGACTCTATGTTAAAGGTGCAATGCTATTAACATTTAGATTTCATATTTTCTCATTTTGTTCAGGCAAGCTTTAGCTGTTGGTTAAATTTATACATTATTTAGATCCCTTTTCTCATTTTTCCAAAAAAAAACTAATGATTAAAAAAATCTTTAATGATTAAACCATTATGTACTGAATTTTCTATTGCCATTTTGTAAATGTTGTAATTGGAGAATGAGGAGAGGGTGGGTGTTCTGTGAGATCGAAGGGCTTTCTTTATCTGTACCTTTCTTGTGATCTATATATTTATAGAACTGAAATAAGTTGAACGAAGAACAGTTAAATATACATTCAATATCCTCAACTAAGCAAATGCTTGACATTGTCTTGATGTGTGCAACTTGTACCAATTTGCTCCTTACATAATAGACTTACAAATGATAGAAGCAGTTCTGCTATAATTAAACTCGCGTACAAGTAACTTTTTTATTTTCTGTCCTGATCTACAGATCCTTCATCTGTTAAGCATAGTTTTATGTTTAAAACGAGCCATGATAATGTGAACCATGAAAAATATTCTGGAAAAATAAAGTTTTTTTTTTTAGTGTTGATAAGATGTCATTCATCGTATTGTGAACCTGAGCACTGGGGGTTGAGGGAATTCTCCACTAAGGTGGCCAGTTGTACGATGCTATGAAACATTATAAGTGACGGAGATTTGGGAGGCAGTACAGATCCTGCTGTATGACATCTGTGCACTCATCTGCTTCACTATCAACTAAACCCACTGCTGGCTTGGTTGCCTGAGTGTAGAGACGTGTACAGATAAAACAGAGCGGACCTTTGTACCTCTATAAAGCACCAGTTGGGACATTTGAGGGTTGGATTATAGGTATTGTGGTGAATTTTGAAACTTTGTTCCAAAATCTGTAGAAGAAAATGTGCTGCAAGCAGCATAGGCCTGCACATCCTTTTGGAGGAGCAGAGGCATACGAAGGGCAGATGGATGTCTGCACAGGTCATTGAGAGGGGAGTGTGTATAAGAGGAAAGTTGTATTACCTGATAAATCTGAAGAACAAAGTCAAATAGTTATTATAATAATAATCCTTGCATTTGATATAATGCCTTAACACATCTTCGAGACATCTCGAAGCCTTGAATATACTGTAAAGTGAATTGACTGTATATTTTGTGGGCAAACGTTGCAACAAAACTGAGTTGATTGGCGTGTTGGCAGATGACCCACATTTGAAGGATGACAACAAGCCCTACCGAGCTGCCAATCGTTGTGTAGGTACCAGCCCTAAACTGCTGTGTGTCTGTGTCACATGCTACAGACGTGACTGGAATAGCCAAGCCTCCATCAGCAGATGCACCAAACAAGTAACCGATACTATCAGGCTCTGGGTCACACTGAGAATCGCTTATGAGTAGTATGCAAAAGATGCATATGTCATGTGGATGTTGCATAAGTTGGGGATCTGTGGTTCATTTTTTTTAAAAATTGGGATCCCTGAAGGTCAACCTCTCCCACATCACTCAAGCCACCTTAACTCAAAGATTCTGCAGTTGAGCTTGGTTCAGATAACCCTGGCACGTAAGTCAACGTCAAAGGTGTTGATTTTTGACCAATCCTGTGCCGGTGTCATCTCCACCAGAGCAAATTCTGGGCTGTCCAAACTAGCTGCCTAACGATCACTGATCTTGGAATGATCTGCATTTGCAGACTCAGTGGAAGATGGTCAGAATTACAGATGGCACCAAGCTGGGGGAGGCTGTGGAATTGGAGGAGGCAACCAAGCTCTTACGAATAGAGCTCGATAGAGAATGCAGCTGGGCTGGTGACTGGCAGCGTTCACTACCAATAAATGAAGGTAATGATTATAGGAACTAAAAAAGAAAGCTGTCGTGTGTACTGCAGGGGAGGGAATTAACTTGCACAGAGAGAGCTGAGACCCAGGGATGTTAATTCATTTGTTGCTCAATATGTTCAAATAATAATGGGTAGCAATATAAAAGTAAGCTGTACATTGGGCTATATTGTCACATTGCTCTATCTAAGTGACACCTGGAGTACTGTTTCCAGTTCTGCTGCTATGTGACAAGGTAGATGGTCAGGCTGAAGAGGCAGCACAAAGGAGAGCAATAAAGATGATTCTCCAGTGTTCGAAAGATGAGGTAGGACTTCTCAGCCTTGAAAAGAGATGTTGGTAACACAGGGCAGTACTTTCAAATATACCAGGACAGACAACAAGAGGGCACGAGCTCAGCATAAATTATTTCTTTTAATCAACAATTAGGTTAATCAACAACAGGAGCCCATTACCAAGAAGGCATTTAAAGGCCAGGGCACAGGACTACTTTAAGAAACAGATTGATGATATAATGACAGAGTGGGTATTCGCTAAGGAGGAAATCAATTGGGTTGAAAGGTCTTCATCCAAACCTCTGTTGGTTGACATCAATATTGAAACACAAAAAAAAGTATCATTCCCTATGATGAGTCCTGATGTCAATCATTTTCTGAAACGCAAGAGCAAGCTACAAACTAATGAGTCTTGCCTGCTATGATCCTTGGTGGCTTTAGAATAACAAAAATGATCATGTAATTGCCTGATTGAACACAACAATTGGACCATAGAGAACCATGTGTAATATAGTAACTACTAATTGTTCTTGTAATATACTGGATCCTTACCTAGTTTTTTTAATACCATGAAGATAATCCGAGGTGGGAAATGCTAACTAGAAAGTCCAATCCTTAGACTCGATCAACACTGACATCTTATTTAAGGTTGCTTTAAAGGAATATGTAATAAATCAATTTGGCTAAAAACACAGTGGGTGTGATCTGTGGAACCTTTGATAGATTCTATAAAAAAGAGATTTAAATCTGTGGGTTAGGAAGTTTGCATTACCAAAATACTATCTTAGATTTATTTTGTTAAGACTTCCAGAATGACACTGTCTGACTTTTGTTTCACACACTCTCTCCTTAGCTGAACAAACATTTTTATTTTATTTCCTATTTCCTCTGCTTTATACTGTAATAAATCATTTTTTAAAAATCCTTCATCATTCCTCAGCTGAGGGTGTGGCTGTGGAACCTGTTTCCAAGTCTGTCCCAGTTGCTGTGCTTTCTGTTTCCTCCTGAGAATTCATGAAGATAGTTCATGACTCATTCCCTTTTTTCCACCTGTGTTTGTCCTTCCCACCTCTGTAGGGAGCCAACTTCCCTCCTCTCAGTATCTTCTCTTGGCAGCACAGATCAGGAACTTGCCTGCTGAGAGTGTTAAGTATAAACCTATCCTTGATGATATTTTACTCCTATCCTTCAACATCGTAATCTATCAGGCCATCCCTATTCCCAGTGCTATTCCCAGCGTAAAATTGGTCATCAGAATCTTTTATGATATACGCAGATGTGCACTAAATTGTCAGCATCACTAAGTGAAGTCACCAATAATGGTTAAAGCAGGAAACAGGATTCACACTGATGCAGTTAGGCTACTCTTCTGAAATTTAGATTCTTAAGAAGTGTCTCGCGAGCTTTATTCTGCAGTTGGCAGGGCTAGTGCCAATTTGGAAGCACAGTCAATTGGGCGTTTGCAATGGGAAGTGTTCTAACACTCTCTCTCCAACACTGACAAACATAGAGTAAAGTTTTTAAAATCAGGGATTTCAATATCTTAGATTTTCTGCACCATAATTCATTTGGTGAATAGTATTTTCAAATGAACTTTGGTTCTAGAAACCAGTTCTTTGAAGTTCCTACATTTTTAAAAGACATTGTAATTCGTTCTTGCGGATCCTGGAGTTTTTCCTCAGTTTCTGAGCAATTTACAGTTACAGGTTTAGCACAAGTCAAGAAAGAATTTACAATACAAGGGCAGGATGACGATAAACATTGCGCGGAACCCTCTGAAGTTTCACCAAGTCTTTTAACAATTTAAGTTCCATCAAAAATCTGTCTTTATTGAATAATAACACACCTTTCTAATGCATTTCAGACTACTTTTTGACTGTCATCACTGGCGCCTGATAATCTTTCTTTAAAACAATATACAAAAAAGTGACTAAATTTATGGTTTGTAACTATTTTCTGTCACTCTGTCTACAAGCAATGCCAGAATCACAAAATCTTTATCCCTTTCCCATCATTGCCTGAATATTGAGAGTTGAGATTACGTAAAGCATTTATCTTTGTACAATAGAGCGTGGCAGTGAAATTCCTAGCCTGATACCATTATTTCAATTTTACTTAAGCATATTGTGGTATGATGTGTTCCATATATATAATGATAATAATCCTTGAATTTGATATAGCGCTTATCATGTCGTCGAGGTTTCAAAGCGTTTCACAGAATACACTGTAAGGTGAATTGACTATTTTCTGGGGAAAAGATGGCAGTCAATTGCATGCAGCAGTG